CGCGGCCCCGCCCCTTGTCGCGGCCCCGCCCTCCAACCAGGCCCGTTGTGGGCCCCTTTCACCACACCGCCTCCCCCCCCCCCCCCCCCCCCCCCCCCCCCCCCCCTGCCATTTCCCGTCGCCCGTCGCGGCTCCTTCGGGGGCCGCAAGGAGCTGTGGGGTGGCAGGTATGGGGGTGGCCGGTGTGCCTTCCTCCCTTTCTCCTCCTCCTCCTTCGTCTCCCACTGCTGCAGCTGTCGCTGAGGGGGGTGGTTGTGTGGGAGACTGGGTTTAGGGTTTAAGGGGGGTGCGTGGGAGTGGAGCTAGCGGTGTAGCAGTGGGTGTGTATGAGGGGGGTGGGACTGTGTGTGGGAGGTTGAGCGGAGGTTGCCAGTTTGTCGTCCGCAGCACCTGTAGTCCGGGGCGCTGTCCCGGTAGCCCAGTGAGCTTGTCGCTGAGCCGGTCGCCTGTGGGTCCGTTGCCCGTCTGCCGCTACTTGAGCCGCGGGGCCTGTTACTCCCGTAGTCCGGGGCGCTGTCCCGGTAGCCACTGTGCTCGCCACTCCTGTTGCCCGTGTGTCTGCAGCTTCAGCCGCCGCCTTCTATCTCCTCTCCTCTCACTCTCCCTCCTCCTCCTCACTTGCCCGTTGTGACCACTGCTAGCTTTGCTCATAATTGTTAACTTTGAACTATTTCTTCTTGACCTTGTGCTCAGAATGCGTGGTGACATTGTGATCCACCCTGAGCTTGAACTGTTTTGCCTGCTCTGCTGATTACACCCCACTTTGGCTATGGGGGTGTGTCAGAATATTATTCTTATGTTCTAGCCTGTAGTGGGGTGCTCCATAGCGAGTACAACCCTTCTAGGGTTTGCTATTTGTATCCCCATTTCTGCTAGTTCATTCCTCTTTCTTTCTTCTAATTTTGTCACCAGCCTCCGAAATGACGTGACCTAAAAACTCTAGTCTGTCCCAAAAAAACTCGCACTTGGAGCCCTTGGTTAATAACCGATGTGTCTCTAAAATTTTAAAAACTGCTTCGAGATCTACTAAGTGCTGCTGCTGGTCCCGACTGTAAACGAGAATGTCGTCGAGGTAAACTATGACGCATTTATCTAAAAGTGGCCTAAACGCCTCGTTCATGGTCATCTGAAATGTTGCAGGCGCGTTGGTCAGCCCGAAAGGCATCACCGTGTATTCGAATGACCCGTACCTAGTCCTAAATGCTGTCTTGGCGCAGTCCGATGGTTCGACCCGAATTTGATGGTAACCTCCTCGTAAGTCGATTTTCGAAAATACTCGTGCGGTTCGCAGCTGGTCGATCAGTTCGTCGGCGCGGGGGATGGGGTATCGTGATTTGACTGTTACCCTGTTAAGCGCTCGGTAGTCGATGCACATTCGAAACCCTCCGTCTTTTTTCGGTGTGAACAGTATCGGTGCGGCGAACGGTGACGAGCTCGGTCGGATAAACTGCTTCTCTAACAGGTAATCTAACTGCTTCCTTAGTTCGTCGAGCTCGGGCTGTGTCAGTCGAAATTGGCGCTGTACAGTTGGCTGTGCCCCCGGCTCTAACTCGATCCTATGGTCATGTGCCCGCTGAGGTGGCAGCCCTTGCGGTAAATCATCCGGAAAGATACCCGGGAACCGTTTCAGTAGTGCTTGCAGTTCGGGTGGTACAGCTGCCAACAGTTTCTGAAAATCGCTCGGCTGCTCCTCTTTTTCTACTAATGCTATATCTACTGCGTACACGTCAGCTCCAGCAGCGACAGCCCGTTTCATCGTGATGGCGTTGACCTGGACCGTCGAACACTCGGGTGGCTGCCAGCGAGGTAGGACGACCCAGTTACCACTACTTCGCACTATGCAGCTACCCGTCGTCCAGTCAATTCGTGGGTTATACCGTCGCAGCCAATCACGCCCCAATAAAATGTCGTGCCCATCCAGTGTCGTTGCGAGCATTTCCTGTGTAAACCCGAAGTTCCCTCCGCAGCGGAATTTTACGCGTTCCACCTTTTCCCGTATGGCCAGTGGTGTTCCGTCGACTAAGCGTGCGTCTATCTCCGGTAAGCATCGGTTAAGTGTTAACTGTAATTTCCGTGCGGTTGCGGTATTAACTAAGCTGTGACTTGCTCCTCCGTCAATAAAAATCTTCACTGCTGCTCCCTGTATTTTCCCGTAGATCAGTACCGGGCAATCCGTCGCTGTACCCTCCTTATTCATCCGAGCCCGATCGATGGCGTGAATCGGTACTGTGACTCGGTGAGGGTCGGTGTGGTTGGGCGAGCAGGCAGTCTCGTCAGTAGTTGGCCCAACTTCTACTGACTGCTGGCGTTTCCCTGCCTCTGAGACTCCCTCCCCTGCTCTGCTCCTCGGCGCCGCAGCTCCTCTGGGCATTCGCTCTTGCGATGGCCCGGCCTGTTGCAAGCAAATCAGCGCCCCTTAAATGGTGCGGCAGCTGCATTTGTTGCAACGGCATGTACAGTGGCGTGCTCGGTCGGTCCCCGAGGGCGATGTCCGTAGTGGGACCCCGGTCTCGGTCGGCGTAGAATGTCGATCTTCTCGGCGAGCGCAAGAATCTCGTTGAAATTAGAGAGTCCGCGCAGCATTATTTCGTGCGAGATATCCGGCTTCAGCCCTCCGACGTAACGGTCCACCCGCTCCGCTTCGTGCATGTAGCCAACCTGCTCGCAAAGTGCGAGAAAACCGCTGGTGTAGTCTTGAACTGACCCGAGCTGGCGCCAAGTGCGCAGTTTCTGACGCGCCGAAATTGAAGCCGCGATCGGCTCAAAACGCGCCCGAAGCCCTGCGCACCACGCATCCCACGTGCTGTATTGGGCGGTCTCGCAGAACGAACTCCAGGTGACAGCTGGGCCCGAGGGCCCTTCCTCGTGCGACGGTGGCTCGTAGGCGCGTGGCGACGTCACGATGACTCGCCACCAGTCCATGGCGGGGCCCCTTAGCAGTGAAACCGCATACCGGATCTTTGCGGCGTCCGACTCGACGTAATTGGCGTCGAAGAAAACGTTCATCGTGAAGACCCACGATTGAACTGTCGGACCGCCGCGTTGACTTGGGTCGAAGCAGGGCGGGCGTTGCGGCTTGAGCGGCATTGGTGCCATGTTGGAGTGTTCGCCACTTGTCGCCGCAAATTTCACGTGCCGACGGACTTCTCGAGGCTCCCGTGGGCTTGGTGCGATCCTGTTTCCTCCCATGCTAGGCATCGGCTGGGCGGCGCCCTCACTGGCTGCGCCTGAGCGTTGTCCCGTGCTGTCATGTTGTGTTGGTGTGCCGGACGAGATTACAATCGGCTCATCCGAAAGTGCAGATGCGTTTGTTGGTGCGTGGGGTGTTGTCGGTACATTCATCGTAGACTGTTGACGGGCGGAGTCACGTTCCGCCGTGAGAGTCGCGATTTCAAGCGCCGAGTCCTCCAGTTGACGCACGAGACGATCGAGTTGCTGTTGCGTCAATGTGGCGAGCGTGAAATCGGCCATGGCGGGGGTGTCGGGCAAGCTCAACGAGAGCCTCGGTCGTGGCCGTGCGTGCTTGCGAGAGAGCACTACGAGCGGCGGTGCTGTATCGCTGAGAGACGTCTACCCCCCCCAAAAAATTGAGATAGTGGGGAAGCGAAGGTGTGGATGCGGTCCGAGATGGGATCGTAGGCTCTGAATACCAAGTTTTACGAGTGCAATTGAGTGAACGAACGAGAATTGCACTATCGAAGCAAGAGTACAATGAGCGAAGGTATGAGCGAAGAATATATAGCGAAACTACAGTGGTAACGGTAATGGTCGCGCGACGAGCCTGGGACTGAGGTTGGGAGAATATCGAAGCGTAGGCCCGGAGCGCGGGTTACCAGCCGAGCCGTGAGGTCGGGATGCGATGTGCGAAATTGGCGGGATGATTATCGGTGCGATGGTCGCGAGTGGTAACGGTGCTGACTGAGGTGCTACAGTGATGTACGCGTTGAGCAGGGATGCGAAGTAAGGAAAAGGGAATTTCCTTACAATCAGTGTATGCCACACCGCGAGTATTTCTTTTTACCAGACCTCGTGAAGGAATTTCGAAACTCCACACAAGGAGGATGTGTTCTGCATGTGCCAGTTTGTCAGACAGTGCAATTGAGATTGCGAAGAATTATGGCGGCAAAGTTTAAGTTCGAAATATAGCGCGCAAAGGCTCAACCTGTCATCCCTCATCCCCGCCACCCCAGCCAAGCTGCGCGTGAGGGGAACGGCGGAAGCATAGTCCCCTCCAGCGGAAAGTCTCCCTTGATTATACCGTACTCGGTTTCCGCCATCTTCCCTGAGACTTTCCCCATCCCCCTCCCCCCAATACGCCCCACCTCCCTCCCCTTCTATCCGCCATTCCGCAGCTCCCTCCCGTTTTTCCGCATTTCCATGTCCTCCAGATTCAGCAACCATTCAGAAGCCGTTCACCACCAATCTAGCAGCCAAATCAGCGGCAATTCGGCAGCCATTTCAGCGGCCATTTTTCAAAATTCCAATCCGATACACAGATATTTGGCGTTGGCAGTGGCAGTGGCAGTCGCCTCGCCAACAGGGCATCCAGTTTTGGCTGCAACTAACAAGCGGCGATACATGCATCCACACGGACGGCTTTCATCCACTCCTGGACAAACTATTAGGGATTGTTTTGTCGTTACGCTTCGCGATTAGAAACCTCGCGGTCGGCGGCAGCCACCATACATGGATGAACGTTGTTGAAGGGAAAGTTTATCCTTCTCCCTCTCCACATTAGCCGTCCCCCATTCCGCAGTCCTCGTTTACTGCTGCGACACACTGGTTCCGCTTCCATAATCCATCACTCAAGCTCAGCGTAGCGAGTTCTGAGGTGTCTCAAAAGTCGTCCATATTCCATTTAGTACTCAAGCTCAGAGTGAGCGAGATCAGGATTTGGGAGCTAAATCCATAGTTCAGTCAGACGCACTTTCTGGAACAAAGGGGTTGCATTTTCAGTCACTCGCTGAATATCTTCGCGTCTGACAGACAGCTTTCGCGCCATGGCGTCGCTCTATGTTGCCTCCGTGTCGCTCGCTCCCCTTGCTGCTCTTAGGGCCCCACTGGATCGCCATCCCCAATACAAGCTATCTCTCTCAAGGTAGTACAATTTTCCAATATCAGCTGAACAGATTCTGTGATCGCTCGATGCAGGTCGCGCGTCAATGACGACGGGCCGTGTGAAAAAGTAACACCAACGATGAACGCTTGCTTTAAAAGTAAGAGCACGACTGAACTCGCATTTCGGGTAAAAGGCCCGTTTGAGGTTGCGGCATGCAGCAATAGGGTATTTCGCAGTGCGTGATTTAGTCTCCGTAGGCTCAAACTCGTCGTCTCACTCCTATCACTTCAAACGGAAAATCAGTGCTTGCGTTCGGTATACGCCAGTTCAGAGTTGCGCTGCGCGTTTCTGAGAAATATCACCAGCAGTTCTGAGGCGCCTCAATCGTCCAAGCCACCCTTGACCTTCCAGTGAAAACATCGCCCTGGCTTCCCGAAATCCTCTCCCACTGCAGATTCGCCTGGTGATCCACTAAACTCAAATTGTTCCATCTTCTACTTCGCAACAACGCGACCTTCCCTTTTCGCAGCTTAACTTCCTCCTATGGCGGCCTCCGCCTCTCAGCCGCGCCGACGTCCGCGGCGGCGCGCGGAAGCCGCCGCCCGCCAAGCCCGACTCTGCTCCGCGGCCCCTCCGCCTCCGCCAGCAGCAGCAGCGGGACAAGCGGCGCCGATCGCGGCGCGTCGGTGCTTAAGGACGCGCTGACAATCTTCGGGTCGTCTAAGTCGGCGGCTGCGGCGGCGGCAGCGGAGAAGGGCCCGCCGGCGCGGAAAGGGGAGGCCACCGCGGCAGGAGTCGCAACGGGAGTGGCGGCGGGAATCGCGGCGCAAGGCGTGCCGTTCGACCTGCGGCTGGCCGTGCTGCTGGGCGGATTCGCGTTTGAGGCGTATTCGACTCCCACTGTAAGAGGGCGTAGCGTGTACTACGAGATTGGATGCACGTAGAGAATCCGTGCGGAAAATGAGGCGTACTACTCGATTTCCCCTGTGTAAGACAGAGGCGTACGCGGCGTCCTGCTGCACAGCGACTCATGCGGGCAGGCGCGCCGTTTTAACTGTCCGGTTTGGCGGCAGGTTTGAGGGCAGTGGCGGCCGGTGATTCAAACGTGCGGCTGGCCGTGCTGCTGTGCGGATTCGCGTTTGAGGCGTACTCGACTCCCACTGTAAGCCGCACGCACGCGATGGAAAAGAAGCTTGAATGACGGGACGGAAAGGACAGCGGACGGAATCTGGATGAGCCGACGGGAAGGGGGAACACGGGAAGGGAGGTTGGTGGGAGGGAGAGATGTGATGTGCCTCACATCAGCAGGTTTGTGAAGCGCTTTTCCCCATACCCTGCACCACAGGGAAGTGATAAGCTATCGGATGTGTACAGGCGGCTGTACTTTGCTGTTTCCCTGTTGAGAACGCCCCTTCCATCCATCCTTATTCACCCCCCTTACTCTACACCACAGGGAAGCGATAAGCTATCGGATGTGTACAGGCGGCTCTACTTTGCTGTTTCCCTTTCTAGAACAACCCCTCCCTCCATCCTCATTCCTCCTTGTACCCTACACCACAGGGTAGCGATAAGCTATCGGACGTGGACGGGCGGCAGTGCTCGGCTCTCTTCACCTCCACACCCTTCTCCCACGAGCTCTTTCAGGGGCAGCTCTCCGTGCGCGCCATTACAGCCACGGTATGAGAGCTCGCTCACTCACCCACTCTCTCACTCTCTCACTCGCTCACTCGCTCACTCACTCCCTCAATCACGGACTCACTCACTCACCCATTTAACCACTGCTTCACTCCATTCGCCTCCTCGCCATTCGCCCACGAGCTCTTTCAGGGGCAGCTCTCTGTGCGAGCGATCACAGCCATGGTATGGTTCACTCACTCACTCTCTTACTCTCTCACTCACCCACTCATACACTCACCTCTTCTCTCATTCACTCTACTCCTCTCTCACCCCATCCTCCATCCTCCAGGGCAACATCAAGGCGCTCCATGCTGAGCTGGCGCTGGTGACGTCAGCGGGGAAGGCAGCCACGTGGAATGGCGTCGCTCACACCACCGTGAAGGCCCAAGAGTGAGCTGGAGCCTGTGCTTCCCATTCATGCTCGCATGCTCAAATACACACATCCTCTCCTCACAATCACCCACATCCTCGCATTTTCCCTCACATCACATTCGTAATTCATCCTCCCATTATGCTTACGTCACATGCGAATGTCACATGTACACACTTCATATGCTCACCGCCTGCCCACCTCCCTGCTTCTCCTTTCAGCCAAAAGAAACCATCGTGGCCCGAGCAACTGCAGCTGCTGGTGCCGCGTGCTGCTGCATCTGACACCTTGCTGCAGGTGGGTATTGCGACGTCTCAAACCTCGTGCTGCACCGTTTGACACCTACCTTCAGGTAATTGACTATCAGCCCAAAGAATGCATCACGGTCCGAGCAACTGCAGTTGCTGGTGCCGCGTGCTGTTGCATCTGACACCTTCCTGCAGGTGGGTATGTGCTCTCTCAGGTGATTCGGTAATCCTCTGTTGGCCCCAGGTGGTGCTCTGTTGGCTCCAGGTGGTGGCCCCAGTTAATTTTCCCTTTTCTGAGGGATATAACCTTGATAATGCCTATACATGCGATGGGAGAACTCTACACACGATTTCTCTCCTCACCACCGGGTCAACGGTTCACCAGTGGCAGGCTGGCAGGGAATGTCTGAAACCCTCCTGTAAAAAGTGTATCTTTGAGACGTCTCAAAAATACACCACCAGGTCAACGGTTCACCAGTGGCAGGCTGGCAGGGAATATCTGAAAGGGATCGTGTCTCTCGCTCTGTCTCCTTTCCTCACCGCCCTGCCTGCCAACAGATCACATTTCACAACAAGGATAATGATAATGATAAAGATTCTGACGAGGATGATTTTGTGGTTTTGAGGCGCCTCAAAACTAGACCGCTCTGTCTCCTCTCCTCTCCTCACCGCCCCGCGTTGACTTTTGAGTCGACTCAAAAGTCAAAACTAGACCGCTCTGTCTCCTCTCCTCTCCTCACCGCCCTGCCTGCCAACAGATCACCTTTCACAGCAAGGATGATGATAACGATTCCGACGAGGATGATTGTGTGGTTGGCACGGCCACCATTGCTCTCACTGACTTGATCAAAGGTGGGGGTGTGGGTGTGTTAGGAAGACTTGGGGGAGTGTTAGGCTATCCACTTGTCTCCATCCTTTGTGCTTCGCTCTGAACCACTCTCCACTGTTATGCCACCGCTCGCCACTGCTCTCCACCGCATTCCACCACTCTCGATCCCTCTCTGTGCACTGATTCAGACACCCGGATTCGCGATGTCGTGGCCAAGGTGACTCGGGACGGCAAGCCGACAGGAAATGTCACCATGGAGGTAGGTGTGTGTGGGGAGGGAGGTGTGTTTGGGGAGGTAGGTGTGAGTGGAGTAGGCGGGTGTAAGGGGAGGTGGGCTTGGGATAGGTGGGTTTGAGGTAGGTGGGTTCGGGGGGGAGTGGGTTTGGGGTGAGGTGGGTTTGGGGTGAGGTGGGTTTGGGGTAGGCGGGATTGGAGGGGGTGGATCAGTGGTTGATAGGCTTTAAGGTGACTTGGGATGGTAAGTAGCCAGGTAGTACCTTCTTGAAGGTAGGTGTGTGTGTGGGTAGGTGTGGGGGAGGTAGGAAGGTAGGTGTGTGTGTGGGTAGGTGTGGGGGAGGTAGGAAGGTAGGTGTGTGTGTGGGTAGGTGTGGGGGAGGTAGGAAGGTAGGTGTGTGTGTGGGTAGGTGTGGGGGAGGTAGGAAGGTAGGTGTGTGTGTGGGTAGGTGTGGGGGAGGTAGGAAGGTAGGTGTGTGTGTGGGTAGGTGTGGGGGAGGTAGGAAGGTAGGTGTGTGTGTGGGTAGGTGTGGGGGAGGTAGGAAGGTAGGTGTGTGTGTGGGTAGGTGTGGGGGAGGTAGGAAGGTAGGTGTGTGTGTGGGTAGGTGTGGGGGAGGTAGGTAGGAAGGTAGGTGTGTGTGTGGGTAGGTGTGGGGGAGGTAGGTAGGAAGGTAGGTGTGTGTGTGGGTAGGTGTGGGGGAGGGAGGAAGGTAGGTGTGTGTGTGGGTAGGTGTGGGGGAGGTAGGTAGGAAGGTAGGTGTGTGTGTGGGTAGGTGTGGGGGAGGTAGGTAGGAAGGTAGGTGTGTGTGTGGGTAGGTGTGGGGGAGGGAGGAAGGTAGGTGTGTGTGTGGGTAGGTGTGGGGGAGGTAGGTAGGAAGGTAGGTGTGTGTGTGGGTAGGTGTGGGGGAGGTAGGAAGGAAGGTAGGTGTCTCTCAGGTGGGTGGGTTTGGTGGGAGGAAGGGTCGGAAAAAGCGATTTGCTAATGCAATTTCAATCTTGAGTGATCTGATCATCTCATTACGCACTGTGTGTGTGTGCGTAGGGTAGGTGTGGGGGAGGTAGGTGTGGTGTGTCTCAGGTGGGTGGGTTTGGGGGTAGGAAGGGTTGGAAATAGCGATTTGCAATCAATCCTTTTTTATCTCATCATCTCATTACGCACTGTGCATCGTGGGTGGGTGGGTGGTTGCTTGTGCCTGTGGCAGGTGGACTATGCAAGCTTCTCTGGGCCAAGCGACAGGTAGGGGTGAGAGGGAGAGGGGGGGTGGGGCTGTGAAGGGTAGGAGAGTTGGAGAAACAGTGAGGGAGTATGGCAGGGCATCTTGGGTGGTTGCTTGTGCCTGTGGCAGGTGGACTATGCAAGCTTATCCGGCCCAAGCGACAGGTAGGGGTGAGAGGGAGAGGGGGGGTGGGGCTGTGAAGGGTAGGAGAGTTGGAGAAACAGTGAGGGAGTATGGCAGGGCATCTTGGGTGGTTGCTTGTGCCTGTGGCAGGTGGACTATGCAAGCTTCTCCGGCCCAAGCGACAGGTAGGGGTGAGAGAGAGAGGTGGGAGGGTGAGAGTGTTTGTAGTGTGTGGAGATGCAACGGGAGCAGCAGCACCTAAGGCAGGCAGGCAGCACCTAAGGCAGGCAGAATATGTGAGCTGCTCCGGTGCAGGCGATGGGTAGGGGTGAGAGGGAGAGGAGCGTGTGGGGCTGTGAGAGAGTTGGAGAGGCAGAGAGGCAGAGAGGCTGGTAGAAACACCATTCTATTCCTTTTTTCTTGTATTCAAGAAATCACTCACTCACGCCTATCACCCCCAAGTCATAGCTCCTCTCATTTCGTTCCGTCTTGCCCCCCCCACCACCCCAGCTTCGAGCCTCTCCCCATCCTCCAGAGGCTTCTCACCACGCCTCTTCCCGCATCGGCCTTTCAACCATCGGCCACTCTTTCTAGAGGCAGCACCGTCAAGAATAATGCCACAGCTGCTGCCACTGCCACTGCTGCAGCAGCAGCAGCAGCAGCAGCAGCAGGACAAGTGTCCGCTGCGGCAGTGCCAGCTGCCACTGCCACAGCAGGGCAAGTGGCCGCTGTAAAAACGGGGGAAGATTCAAAAACTGAAGCAGAAGCAGCAGCGTACGGGCTCTCCCTTCAAGACCAACGGGCAGTTGAAGCTCTTTTTGCCACAGGAGCCAATAACGTGACGCTCGCCGCCTGGGAAAACCTCTCCCGGGCAGCTGCGGGCGGGCAGCCGGAGTTTTTCAAGTCGGCGTTTGAGAGCGTGTGTTTCCTGAGCAGTGGCGAGTCGGACACTCAGGTGAGTGGGCTTTACGCCGCTTCCTTATTAAGGTGTCTTCTCATGTTAAAGTGTCTTAAGGTGTCTTCTTATGTTAAGGTGTCTTCTTATGTTTCCGGAGCAGTGGCAAGCTTAGTTGGAGTATACGCGTTTCGCGTTTTATACGCTAGCGTATAAACGCAGTACGCAGCTTTGGAGGGGTCTAATACGCAGTGAAAATGCAGGGCCGGGAAGGGGTAAAAAAAGTTTCGGGCAGGTGAATTTTTTTGAGTTAAGATGTGGGGAAGGGGGTGGTGCAAGGCACCATCACCTCCCTTCCCCTTTTGTATTATAGGGCAGGTTACATGCACACAACATTTTGCCTACATCACTAGACCCCCTACCCCACCTCCCTTTCCTTTCCCTTTTTCAGGAATCACTACACTTCATAGGCCCATCCCATCCCATCCCATACCACCCCCTCCCCACATGCATGTCTATGCATACTCATCCTCAAGAACCATGTCCTCTTCCTCCCCAACCTCCTCCTCCGCCCCATCCTCCTCCACCTTGTAGCCCTCGGGAAGGGGCGCCTCAGGAATGTTGCCCTTGACCACCCGCTGCCCCTCAGGGACCTTGTACCAATTGTGCACAACCTGCCAGTTGTGCACAACATATACGAGGTCCCTGCACTTCTCGGACCCGAGGCGGTTGCGCCTTGCCGTGTGGACCGCGTCCCACATGGACCAATTGCGCTCACAGGGCGACGCGGACACCGGCTGCGAAAGGTTGCGGATTGCGCACGTAGCAAGGTGGGGCGCATCTGTGCCGTGCCAATTCCACCACTGGACGGCCGTCATCTTCCCCGCCTTCACAGCCGCGCGGTCTTCCAAGGCGGTGGGCAGCCCGAAACTCCCCTGCAGGGTCAGGTACGCCGTCAGTTCCTCCTGCAGCACAAGAGAGGCTCGGCGCTCCTCGCCATCGCTCGCGGTGATGGTGAGGTGGTCGTAGTGCTTGGCGATGTAGCCCTTCAGCACTCGCGTGCATTCGATGTCGTTTCTGAAGATGCCCTCCTCTTGGTTGACCGGATTCAAGATCCTGCCAACCACATGCAAGGGGCACGCCAAGCACTTATCCCACCTATCCTTCACGATGAGGCGGATCTCCTTAACCTCCGCCCTCGTCAGGTGACCCGCGGAGTGCTCCTCGAGGATTGCATCCACGTCCTCGGTGAGCTGCAGCATGGCGTCGTAGAGGTGCCTCATCATCCCCTTTGTCGCAGCATTCGTAGCCCGCATGACGGCGAACGGCTTCGCCATGAGCTTGGTGAAGAACTCGGCCGTCTTCCACCAAGCCTCGTCCATGATGTGCTCGCGGAAAGTGTCCGCGCTTTTACTCCTTGCCCCTATTGCCCACTCCTTCCATTCATCGCTTAAAACCATCTGCACGAGGGCAGCACGGACTTCGACAAGGCGGGAAATAGCGATGAATTGCGTCCCGAAGCGGGTGCCCGCGGGTTTCAGGACCTGCTTGCCCTTCCCGCCCTTGACCTCGGAGCTTCGCAAATACCCCCGCGTGAAGTGGTGGTTGCGCGTGAAGGTGATGATCTCTCCCCCGCGGGTGACAAGGTTCTTCGCCCAATCCATCTTCCCCACGTCCTCCATCAACAGATCGAGGACGTGGGTAGCACAAGGTATGTACTCAATGTGGGGGTAATCCTCCATCAGCTCCCTGCACGCCGCCGCATAGTTCGAGCCGCCGTCCATGCAAAATGCCTCCACATTTTCCGGTCCGACTTTCTTGAGAATGGGACGGAGAAGCCCCGCGATGTAACCTCCCGTCTTCGATTCCATCCGTGTGTCGATTGTCTCAGCGAAGACCGCGCCACTGTCGTTGATCAGAAGGACATTGGCTTGCGGACGGCCGTTACGATCAGTCATCATGTCGCTTGCCACCGTTACGCCATCCCGCCGCCAGCTCGCCGCGATAGGAGCAAGCGCCGCCTCAATGCGCTTACGACATTTCTGGAGCCCGACGCCGCCGGCGTAGCGACGCCTCGGTGCGAGGTAGCCTTCGCCCGCACGCGCAATGCAGGAGACCATGTTGCGCCAAACAGGGTGGTCCGCGTGGTGTTCGGGGAGGCGCAGAGCAGCGAACGCGAGGCAGATCGACTCGTCGGCATCGTTCTTCTTGCAGGCTGACGCGTCGCCGTAGAAATTGGTCATGCGAGACTTCTTCGCCTCGCGAGAAGCACCGGAAACTGCAGCAACGGCCGAGACTTCAGCCGCGCGCTTCTGGTCCCGGGTCCTGGACTTCGTCTCGTACTGTGACTTCACTCCATCCCGCGCGGTCTTGGGAGCTTCCTCGCAGAGGCGGATTTCACGACGCCGCATACCCTTCTAGCTGGTGATGTGCTGAGCAGCGCGGTACATACCGCCCGTGAACTTGTGGCGACAGTACATGCACACCTTGGTGGCGTGGTCGCTGTCGTCGCCGGGTTTCACAAGGAAATGCTTGTACACAGCATGGGTTTCGTGCATGATAACCAGACCGGCGCAGGTTTCCTCAACAGAACTAGCATTAGGAGCTGCAGTAGGGGTACTAGTACTGAGTGTTGCTGCAGGAGGGGTCGCCATACTGATAGGCGAGCTAAAGAAGAGAGCTAAACTGAGTAATGAAAGTCGAGTGGAAAGACACGACACGACATTTATGGTAGGAATGGTGGGTGGGTTGAGGGGGACTCACCTCAACATTGTGTTTGAAGAGGTTGGAAGTGAACGGGGTACAAGGGGGTTTGCAATGGTAAAGGGTGGGTTTGGTGCGACTCGGTTTCAAATTTCGAATTCGGGGTTGCACTCGCGACGTGCGAAACCCCACACTTGAATCGCCATGTCGCTAAACGAAACTCAAATTTTGATTTTTTTTTTCCCGGTCTGCCCGAGCATTTTTCAGCGTTTCCGAACCAAAAACGCAGCGGTCGTTTTTTTAGCGCGTATAAACACAATACGCAAAATGTTCAGAGCGTATACTCCAACTAAGGTGGCAAGTCAGACAATCAGGTGTGTGGGCGTGGGCGTGGGCTTTTGGGCGCTTCTTTAGAGCAGTGTGCATCACCTCCCAAGTTCTTTTCTGAGCGGTGGGTGGGGTTGACTTTTGAGTCGACTCAAAAGTCAACTTCTTTAGAGCAGTGTGCATCACCTCTCAAGTTCTTTTCTGAGCGGTGGGTGGGGAGTCGGACACGCAGGGTGGGTGGGCTTTGAGTCGCCTTTTAAAGCTTATGTTGAGGCATATGTCTAGACGCCTTTCTAGAAGCAGGTCTTTACTGAGCGGTGGCGAGTCTTACACGCAGTTGGGTGGTGGGCTTTGAGTCGCCTTTTAAAGCTTATGTTGAGGCATATGTCTAGACGCCTTTCTAGAAGCAGGTCTTTACTGAGCGGTGGCGAGTCTTACACGCAGTTGGGTGGTGGGCTTTAGGGTGCATTTGAGATGTAACTGTGGGCTTTAGGGCTTTAGGGTGCATTTGAGATGTAACTGTGGGCTTTAGGGCTTTAGGGTGCATTTGAGATGTAACTGTGGGCTTTAGGGCTTTAGGGTGCATTTGAGATGTAACTGTGGGCTTTAGGGCTTTAGGGTGCATTTGAGATGTAACTGTGGGCTTTAGGGCTTTAGGGTGCATTTGAGATGTAACTGTGGGCTTTAGGGCTTTAGGGTGCATTTGAGATGTAACTGTGGGCTTTAGGGCTTTAGGGTGCATTTGAGATGTAACTGTGGGCTTTAGGGCTTTAGGGTGCATTTGAGATGTAACTGTGGGCTTTAGGGCTTTAGGGTGCATTTGAGATGTAACTGTGGGCTTTAGGGCTTTAGGGTGCATTTGAGATGCTTTCTGAGGCAACTTAAAGAGAGGCAGGCACCTTAAGAGAAGGTGTTCTTGAAGCACAGTAAGAAGTACCTTCATGAGCTGCTTTAAGAAGCTCTTGAGGCACCTTTAGAAGCACCTTCAGTTGGTCGCTTATCTCTTGTCTGTCAAACGCGCAGGTGGGCGTGTGGAGGGACAAGGACCCCCGGAGAAAGAGGCTGGTGGTGTCGTTCCGAGGCACTGAGGTGGTCAATGCGGCCATGCTCAAGGATGGACAGGTGAGTTGCCAAGGGAAGTGGGAGACTGATGAGACTGGTGCCAGCAGATGGGACCGGTGAGGAGTGTGAAAATGCAGATGGGACCGGTGAGGAGTGTGAAAATGCAGATGGGACCGGTGAGGAGTGTGAAAATGCAGATGGGACCGGTGAGGAGTGTGAAAATGCAGATGGGACCGGTGAGGAGTGTGAAAATGCAGATGGGACCGGTGAGGAGTGTGAAAATGCAGATGGGACCGGTGAGGAGTGTGAAAATGCAGATGGGACCGGTGAGGAGTGTGACAATGCAGATGGGACCGGTGAGGAGTGTGACAATGCAGATGGGACCGGTGAGGAGTGTGCAAATGTGGATGGGACCGGTGAGGAGTGTGCAAATGCGGATGAAACTGGTTGGGTTTGGACTTTCGAGGCACTGAGGTGGTCAATGCGGCCATGCTCAAGGATGGACAGGTGGGAATAGAGCAAGAGAAGTGAGGGGATTGGGGCTCTTTATGGGGATGCGGATGCAGGGAGAGAGAGGGTGGTAGTGACCTTTCGAGGCACCGAGGTGGCCAATGCGGCAGGTCGGGGGGATGAGACAGGTCGGGGGGATGAGACAGGTCGGGATGCCCATAACCATGTGATGTGCCCATAACCATGTGATGTGCCCATAACCATGTGATGTGCCCATAACCATGTGATGTGCCCATGACCATGTGATGTGCCCATAACCATGGGATGTGCCCATGACCATGTGATGTGCCCATGACCATGTGATGTGCCCATGACCATGTGATGTGCCCATGACCATGTGATGTGCCCATGACCATGTGATGTGCCCATAACCATGTGATGTGCCCATAACCATGTGATGTGCCCATAACCATGTGATGTGCCCATAACCATGTGATGTGCCCATAACCATGTGATGTGCCCATAACCATAATCCGCCATGTGCCTCTCTCACGCCCACTCCCGTTGCTCCTTTGCTTCCCTCGGCCACCAACCAACAGGCAGGGCAGAAGATTAAGGACGCTCCGACAGACCTGAGGCTGCACAAGGAGAAGTGGATGCCACACTACACATGTGCCATACCCATAATCCCCATCTGCCTCCCGCACACCCTCTCCCCTTGCTCCTTTGCTTCCCTCGGCCACCAACCAACAGGCAGGTCAGAAGATTAAGGACGCTCTGACTGACCTGAGGCTTTACAAGGAGAAGTGAGTGCTGCGTGTCCCATGCGTTGCAAATGCCCGTGCCATTGCGTATGCCGTGCCAGTGCCCATGCGCTGCCATTGGCCATGCCATAGCGCATTGATCTTTACCTTCCATCTGATGAGGTTCCCATGCTCAAGGATGCAATGGAAGACCTGAGGCTGCACAGGGAAAAGTGAGTGCTGCACAGGTGTGGATAGTGAGTGAGTGCTGCACAGATGTGGATAGTGAGTGAGTGCTGCACAGATGTGGATAGTGAGTGAGTGCTGCACAGATGTGGATAGTGAGTGAGTGCTGCACAGATGTGGATAGTGAGTGAGTGCTGCACAGATGTGGATAGTGAGTGAGTGCTGCACAGATGTGGATAGTGAGTGAGTGCTGCACAGATGTGGATAGTGAGTGAGTGCTGCACAGATGTGGATAGTGCCCAGAATGTTGTTGTCAAGTTCAAGCATACGATGCATACAGGCTTAATGATGCGGTTATTGAAAAAAAAAAAAAAAAAAAAAAAAAAAAAAAAAAAAAAAAAAAAAAAAAAAAAAAAAAAAAAAACGGAAACAACTCGTATTTATCCTATTGATTCCATTTAACACACACAAGCTGTCATCTGATATTCCAAAATGTATTCATCCTATATGTAAACCCACCAGCATCTTCTTGTTTCCCTTTTCCTCTTTCTCCTTTCCGTCCCTCACAATCCCTTCTTCCCTTCCCTCCTCCCTCCCCCTATTCCCCCCAACCCAAATCCAGCTTTGACTCGGACTTAACTGACGAGGACAACAAGATGGACATCAAGGTAACGTGATTCGAGTTGACTCAGGATCTGACTTTTAAGTTGACTCAAAAGTCAGCCTCTTCCCCCCAACCCAACCCAAATTCAGCTTTGACTCGGACTTAACTGACGAGGATAACAAGATGGATATCAAGGTAACTCTTTTTTAGGCGGCCAATGGGCTGGGTTTTGAGTCGGCTGAAAAATAAACCCCTCCACCCCAAAACCAAAATCAGCTTTGACTCGGACTTAACTGACGAGGATAACAAGATGGACATCAAGGTAGAGTGTTTTCTCCTTCCTCTCCAATCCCACAATCGTATGACGGCTTTCTGGGATGAGTACCAGTCCGAAAAGCCTCGCCACATTCTGCTGCTCAGGCACACCGCTGCACACCGCTGCACACCGCTGCACACCGCTGCACACCGCTGCACACCACTGCACACCGCTGCACACTGCTGCACACCGCTGTTGTCCCGTTTCTTTCAACAGCCTCGCATGCCCTTTAGTCCAATTCGTCACCGATGTTGTGCATGTTCTTTGAGAATTCTCAAAGAACCTTTTCAACAACCTCGCATGCCCTCTTCTTTAGTTCAATTCCTCACCGATGTTGCGCGTCCAATTCCCGCATGTCCTCGCATGTCCTCGCATGTCCTCGCATGTCCTCGCATGTCCTCGCATGTCCTCGCATGCCCTCGCATGTCCTCGCATGCCCTCTCTGTGCATGACGTTTTTTCTGGGATGGGTTCAAGTCTGTGAGGCGCTTTTGAGATTTTTTAAAAGGTGAATGACGGCTTTCTGGGATGGATTCACGCCCTGGAAGCTGACTTTTGAGCCGACTCTAAAGGAACCTGCGGCTCCCTCTGCTGCTGCTCAGGTACACCATTGTGTGACGTTCTCTCAACAGGCTCTCGTGTCCTTCTCCTCCCAATATTGATTGTTGCCCCTTCGCTGCAACGCTCCCGCCCTCTCTCAGGTGCATGACAGCTTTCTGGATGGCTACAAGTCCGTGAAGCCGCGGCTCCTGCTGCTCACCGCTGTCCTTTTCTAACAAAATCCTCGCGTGTTCTCCCCCTGGGTTCCAATCCCCCAGGTGCATGATGGCTTTCTGGACGGCTACAAGTCTGTGAAGCCGCGGCTCCTTCTGCTGCTCAAAGCTATTCTCGCATCTTCTAGCGAAAAGTGAGCCTTCTGAAAGATACACTCGCATCATGTCACAGGGAACAGGCCCACAGCCTGGGGGGCGCGCTGTTGCAGCATTGATCCTTGTTCCCTCCCATTCAGTAACATTGATCCCACGCCATCATCCCACCTGAAAAAAGGAGTGTTTTGAGACGTCTCAAAACACGCCATCATCCCACCATGGTGTCACCATCCCCACATCATGTGCTGTGCCATGTTCCGCACCACATCATGTGCTGTGCCATGTTCCGCACCACATCATGTGCTGTGCCATGTTCCGCACCACATCATGTGCTGTGCCATGTTCCGGGGAACTAGGAGCACCACATCATGGTCGCGTGGCACTGCCTCGGCGGCACTCTTGGAGCATGCATCGGCCTCGGTTTGAATGACAGTTTTCTTACCTATTCAATCCCTACTAGCCTAAGCCCAGCCTAGAAGAGATTAGAACGAGTTAGCTCTGTTGGATCTAGGTCGAAACTATTTTCCTATTCCTTGGGGGCGCTCTTGGAGCACCACATCATGGTCGCGGGGCACTGCCTAGGTGGCGCTCATGGAGCACCACATCATGGTCGCGGGGCACTGCCTTGGTGGCACTTTTGGAGCACCACATCATGGTCGCGGGGCACTGCCTTGGTGGCACTCTTGGAGCACCACATCATGGTCGCGGGGCACTGCCTTGGTGGCACTCTTGGAGCACCACATCATGGTCGCGGGGCACTGCCTTGGTGGCACTCTTGGAGCACCACATCATGGTCGCGGGGCACTGCCTTGGTGGCACTCTTGGAGCACCACATCATGGTCGCGGGGCACTGCCTTGGTGGCACTCTTGGAGCATCGGTAGCCTCTTGCAGAGTGAAAAAGGATTCGAACCGCAGCAAGCCTTCTGGTTCGAACCGCAGCAAGCCTTCTGGTTCGAACCGCAGCAAGCCTTCTGGTTCCTGTATCCAGACTTTCAAGTCGACTCAAAAGCCTTCTGGTTCCTGTATCCAGACTTTCAGCTAAGTGGGTGTGTTGCTTCGTAGAACTAGGAAATAAGGCTTGAACTAGGAGCACCACATCATGGTCGCGGGGCACTGCCTAGGTGGCGCTCTTGGAGCAATGGGAGGGAGCCTCCCACGCCAAGGATCCATGCTCCAAGAGCATGGGAGCAATGCATATGGATCCACATGCGTTGCTCCCACGCCATCACCCCATCCCATCATGTCATCGCCATGCCACCATGCCACCATCCCACCAGGTATCACGTCATGGTCACGGGGCACAGCCTGGGTGGCGCTGTTGCATTATTGATAGTTGCTGCCTCCTTTTTAACACATCGCTCCCATGCCACCATCCCACCATGCCACCATCCTTATCATCCCACCAGGTATCACGTTATGGTCACGGGTCACAGCCTGGAGGGCGCTCTTGCAGTGGTGATCCTTGTTGCATCCCATCCAATCATCCCATCCTCATGTCACCATACCACCAACCAACCCTCATCCCACTGTGATGCCACCAGGTATCACATCATGGTCACGGGGCACAGCCTGGGGGGAGCTCTCTTGCAGCAGAGGTTCTCGTTGCCCCCATTCAGTATACATTGCTCCCTCCCTCCCATCGTGCTATTATCGTGCCACCATGCCACCAGGTATCACATCATGGTCACGGGGCACAGCCTGGGGGGAGCTCTCTTGCAGCAGAGGTTCTCGTTGCCCCCATTCAGTATACATTGCTCCCTCCCTCCCATCGTGCTATTATCGTGCCACCATGCCCCCAGGTATCACATCATGGTCACGGGGCACAGCCTGGGAGGTGCTCTCTCCACTCTCTTCACATATGACCTTGCCCAGTCTGACCTCAAGAAGTGAGTGTGGTGAAGGTGAAAAGTAAGAAAGGTGGTGTGGTGTGCGGTGCGGTGTGGAGCTGTGCGGTGCTCTTCACATACGACCTCGCCCAGTCCGACCTGAAGAAGTGAGTGTGATGCATGATGGTTAATATGATATTTCACACTGGGTTGCTCTCTCTCTCTCCACTCTCCACTCTCCACTCTCCGCACTCTTCACATACAATCTCACCTAGTCTGACCTCAAGCGAGGAAGGGTGAACATGATATGCGACAAGGTGTGTTGTCAATGTGTGATGTCAAAAGGAGTGAGTGGCCTTTTCTCTAAGATTAAAACGTACATAATGTGTACACATATACATAAGCTGATGTGTGAAAAATATATATAGCTGCTCAAGTATATGATAGGTGTATATGTCTTCATACATATGCTACCGTTCACCCCGTGTGGCTTGTGAGGTCAACCCTTCTACAACCTTGTACAGCTTCGGCTCTCCTCGTGTGGCTTGTGAGGAGTCTAAAATGCAACCCTCCCCCATGTTTGCGTCGCTTGTCACCAGCACAGGCAGCACGGATTCACCCTCTCTCTCTACAACTTCGGCTCTCCTCGTGTGGGCAACCATGCCTTTGCTGCTCGCTTCAACCAGGTGCGTATCGTTTAGCTGTCAGGTCCCTTCCCTCTTGGCGTCCCCATCGAGAGCAGTGAATTGCCACTGGTGGTACTGACAGTTAGCACGTTGCCAACTACCTTAACATGGAGCTAGGCGTGCCCGATAAGTTTCATCCCAACCCATCTCAACCCATCCCAACCCAACCAGCTGGTGGGAGACAGCTGGCGCTTTGCCAACGACCTGGACATGGTGTCGTGCAAGCCATATAAGTTTCATCCCAACCCATCCCGACGCATCCCAACCCATCCCAACCCATCCCAACCAGCTGGTGGGTGACAGCTGGCGCATTGCGAATGACCATGACATAGTGCCACGTGTCCCCTACGTGTTCTACAAGCACTGTCCGCCCCCCCCTCCTCTCTGTTCTACAAGCACTGTCCGCCCCATAATACTCTACCTGTCCCTCCCCTTCCCCCCTCCTCTCTTTTCTATTCCAACCCATCTCAACCCCTCCCAACCAGCTTGTGGGTGACAGCTGGCGCATCGCCAATGACCACGATATAGTGCCGCGTGTCCCCTACGTGTTCTACAAGCACGTGGCCACTGGGGTGGTGCTTCGACCCGACTCGCAGAAGTTGGAAAAGGTGGGTGGGAGTGGAGTGAGTAGCACAGCTGTCCGTGCATGGGTGTGCTGGTGCCGCATGTGTCTTACGTGTTCTACAAGCACGTGGCCACGGGGGTGGTACTTCGCTCCGACTCGCAGAAACTGGAAATGGTGGGTGGGTGCAGTGAACCGCGTTGCCAACGACCATGACATAGTCCCACGTGTGTCTTACGTGTTCTACAAGCACGTGGCCACGGGGGTGGTGGTCCGGCCCGACTCCCAGAAACTGGACAAGGTGGGTGAGTGCAGTGAGTAGCATTTCCAGCATTGCCAATGACCATGATATAGTGCTGCGTGTCCCGTATGTGTTCTACAAGCACGTGGCCACAGGGGTGGTGGTCTGGCCCGACTCCCAGAAACTGGACAAGGTGGGTGACAGAGTGAGTAAATAATTAACATGTGAGAAGAGGGCGCTGTGTCAGGAAAAAGACAGAATCTCCCTGTGTCAGCACTGTGTGTGTCTGTATATCAAACATGTAACAACTTTTGTACTTTTTACAACCAAATTGCACTTATTTGTGTACTTTAACTTATTTCACTTCATTTCCCATCGGGGCCTGGTCCTCCCCCGGCTACTCCGCCCTATCTGCTCCTTGTAGTTACGCTGTCCAAATTGCTACTCCCAGTGCTGTAACAATGTAACTGATCTTTTAGGGTGGCCTTCTGAAGAAGCGGCTCTACACCCTTTGCGTGTCGTCACTACCCCCGCTTGCCCCTGCTTGCCCCCCACTTGCCGAGTTTTGAGGCGCCTCAAAACTTTCGTCACTACCCCCGCTTCCCCTTCTTGCCCCCCACTTGCCATCCCCCCCTTGCGCCTTGCCCCTCAGGATGCCCTCCTTAAGAAGCGACTCGATACCATCACAACAGTTAGCTTCCTGGTAACGTCTTTTATGCATTATAAATCTTCCTTTTGTTAGCAAACAGTATCCAGCTACCCCTCACCTCGCATCTTTCCTTCGAATCTTCTGGCTTCTCTCATCACTCTTCATTACAGTCTCACCTCTCTTCGCCTCTCCTCTCCTCTCCATGTTTGTTGCCAATCGTACCCCATATAAACTCACTCGTTTCACCTCACAGAGCGAGCAACCCAAGCTGCTGTTTGACGGTGCTGGTGCCAGCAAGCACTCACAGCCCGCATACTTCCTCTCGCTGCTCAAGGTGAGCTGCTTGGTGGCGGTGTGGTGGGGTGAAGGTGGGTTAAGACCCTCGCATGCACTCATAGCTCGCATACTTCCTCTCGCTGCTCAAGGTGAGCTGCTTGGTGGCGGTGTGGTGGGGTGAAGGTGGGTTAAGACCCTCGCATGCACTCATAGCCCGCATACTTCCTCTCGCTGCTCAAGGTGAGCTGCTTGGTGGCGGTGTGGTGGGGTGAAGGTGGGTTAAGACCCTCGCATGCACTCATAGCCCGCATACTTCCTCTCGCTGCTCAAGGTGAGCTGCTTGGTGGCGGTGTGGTGGGATGAAGGTGGGTTAAGACCCTCGCATGCACTCATAGCCCGCATACTTCCTCTCGCTGCTCAAGGTGAGCTGCTTGGTGGCGGTGTGGTGGGGTGAAGGTGGGTTAAGACCCTCGCATGCACTCATAGCCCGCATACTTCCTCTCGCTGCTCAAGGTGAGCTGCTTGGTGGCGGTGTGGTGGGGTGAAGGTGGGTTAAGACCCTCGCATGCACTCATAGCCCGCATACTTCCTCTCGCTGCTCAAGGTGAGCTGCTTGGTGGCGGTGTGGTGGGATGAAGGTGGGTTAAGACCCTCGCATGCACTCATAGCCCGCATACTTCCTCTCGCTGCTCAAGGTGAGCTGCTTGGTGGCGGTGTGGTGGGGTGAAGGTGGGTTAAGACCCTCGCATGCACTCATAGCCCGCATACTTCCTCTCGCTGCTCAAGGTGAGCTGCTTGGTGGCGGTGTGGTGGGGTGAAGGTGGGTTAAGACCCTCGCATGCACTCATAGCCCGCATACTTCCTCTCGCTGCTCAAGGTGAGCTGCTTGGTGGCGGTGTGGTGGGGTGAAGGTGGGTTAAGACCCTCGCATGCACTCATAGCCCACATACTTCCTCTCGCTGCTCAAGGTGAGCTGCTTGGTGGCGGTGTGGTGGGGTAAAGGTGGGTTAAGACCCTCGCATGCACTCATAGCCCGCATACTTCCTCTCGCTGCTCAAGGTGAGCTGCTTGGTGGCGGTGTGGTGGGGTGAAGGTGGGTTAAGACCCTCGCATGCACTCATAGCCCGCATACTTCCTCTCGCTGCTCAAGGTGAGCTGCTTGGTGGCGGTGTGGTGGGGTGAAGGTGGGTTAAGACCCTCGCATGCACTCATAGCCCGCATACTTCCTCTCGCTGCTCAAGGTGAGCTGCTTGGTGGCGGTGTGGTGGGATGAAGGTGGGTTAAGACCCTCGCATGCACTCATAGCCCGCATACTTCCTCTCGCTGCTCAAGGTGAGCTGCTTGGTGGCGGTGTGGTGGGGTGAAGGTGGGTTAAGACCCTCGCATGCACTCATAGCCCGCATACTTCCTCTCGCTGCTCAAGGTGAGCTGCTTGGTGGCGGTGTGGTGGGGTGAAGGTGGGTTAAGACCCTCGCATGCACTCATAGCCCGCATACTTCCTCTCGCTGCTCAAGGTGAGCTGCTTGGTGGCGGTGTGGTGGGGTGAAGGTGGGTTAAGACCCTCGCATGCACTCATAGCCCGCATACTTCCTCTCGCTGCTCAAGGTGAGCTGCTTGGTGGCGGTGTGGTGGGGTGAAGGTGGGTTAAGACCCTCGCATGCACTCATAGCCCGCATACTTCCTCTCGCTGCTCGAGGTGAGCTGCTTGGTGGCGGTGTGGTGGGGTGAAGGTGGGTTAAGACCCTCGCATGCACTCATAGCCCGCATACTTCCTCTCGCTGCTCAAGGTGAGCTGCTTGGTGGCGGTGTGGTGGGATGAAGGTGGGTTAAGACCCTCGCATGCACTCATAGCCCGCATACTTCCTCTCGCTGCTCAAGGTGAGCTGCTTGGTGGCGGTGTGGTGGGGTGAAGGTGGGTTAAGACCCTCGCATGCACTCATAGCCCGCATACTTCCTCTCGCTGCTCAAGGTGAGCTGCTTGGTGGCGGTGTGGTGGGGTGAAGGTGGGTTAAGACCCTCGCATGCACTCATAGCCCACATACTTCCTCTCGCTGCTCAAGGTGAGCTGCTTGGTGGCGGTGTGGTGGGGTAAAGGTGGGTTAAGACCCTCGCATGCACTCATAGCCCGCATACTTCCTCTCGCTGCTCAAGGTGAGCTGCTTGGTGGCGGTGTGGTGGGGTGAAGGTGGGTTAAGACCCTCGCATGCACTCATAGCCCGCATACTTCCTCTCGCTGCTCAAGGTGAGCTGCTTGGTGGCGGTGTGGTGGGGTGAAGGTGGGTTAAGACCCTCGCATGCACTCATAGCCCGCATACTTCCTCTCGCTGCTCAAGGTGAGCTGCTTGGTGGCGGTGTGGTGGGGTGAAGGTGGGTTAAGACCCTCGCATGCACTCATAGCCCGCATACTTCCTCTCGCTGCTCAAGGTGAGCTGCTTGGTGGCGGTGTGGTGGGGTGAAGGTGGGTTAAGACCCTCGCATGCACTCATAGCCCGCATACTTCCTCTCGCTGCTCAAGGTGAGCTGCTTGGTGGCGGTGTGGTGGGGTGAAGGTGGGTTAAGACCCTCGCATGCACTCATAGCCCGCATACTTCCTCTCGCTGCTCGAGGTGAGCTGCTTGGTGGCGGTGTGGTGGGGTGAAGGTGGGTTAAGACCCTCGCATGCACTCATAGCCCGCATACTTCCTCTCGCTGCTCAAGGTGAGCTGCTTGGTGGCGGTGTGGTGGGGTGAAGGTGGGTTAAGACCCTCGCATGCACTCATAGCCCGCATACTTCCTCTCGCTGCTCGAGGTGAGCTGCTTGGTGGCGGTGTGGTGGGGTGAAGGTGGGTTAAGACCCTCGCATGCACTCATAGCCCGCATACTTCCTCTCGCTGCTCAAGGTGAGCTGCTTGGTGGCGGTGTGGTGGGGTGAAGGTGGGTTAAGACCCTCGCATGCACTCATAGCCCGCATACTTCCTCTCGCTGCTCGAGGTGAGCTGCTTGGTGGCGGTGTGGTGGGGTGAAGGTGGGTTAAGACCCTCGCATGCACTCATAGCCCGCATACTTCCTCTCGCTGCTCAAGGTGAGCTGCTTGGTGGCAGTGTGGTGGGGTGAAGGTGGGTTAAGACCCTCGCATGCACTCATAGCCCGCATACTTCCTCTCGCTGCTCAAGGTGAGCTGCTTGGTGGCGGTGTGGTGGGGTGAAGGTGGGTTAAGACCCTCGCATGCACTCATAGCTCGCACACTTCCTCTCGCTGCTCAAGGTGAGCTGCTTGGTGGCGGTGTGGTGGGGTGAAGGTGGGTTAAGACCCTCGCATGCACTCATAGCCCGCATACTTCCTCTCGCTACTCAAGGTGAGCTGCTTGGTGGCGGTGTGGTGGGGTGAAGGTGGGTTAAGACCCTCGCATGCACTCATAGCCCGCATACTTCCTCTCGCTGCTCAAGGTGAGCTGCTTGGTGGCGGTGTGGTGGGGTGAAGGTGGGTTAAGACCCTCGCATGCACTCATAGCCCGCATACTTCCTCTTGCTGCTCAAGGTGCGTTGCTGGCTGGGCTGTGCTCTCAGGGTGTGAGATCAATATTCTGTGCTCTCAGGGTGTGAGATCAATATTCTGTGCTCTCAGGGTGTGAGATCAATATTCTGTGCTCTCAGGGTGTGAGATCAATATTCTGTGCTCTCAGGGTGTGAGATCAATATTCTGTGCTCTCAGGGTGTGAGATCAATATTCTGTGCTCTCAGGGTGTGAGATCAATATTCTGTGCTCTCAGGGTGTGAGATCAATATTCTGTGCTCTCAGGGTGTGAGATCAATATTCTGTGCTCTCAGGGTGTGAGATCAATATTCTGTGCTCTCAGGGTGTGTGATCAATATTCTGTGCTCTCAGGGTGTGAGATCAATATTCTGTGCTCTCAGGGTGTGAGATCAATATTCTGTGCTCTCAGGGTGTGAGATCAATATTCTGTGCTCTCAGGGTGTGAGATCAATATTCTGTGCTCTCAGGGTGTGAGATCAATATTCTGTGCTCTCAGGGTGTGAGATCAATATTCTGTGCTCTCAGGGTGTGAGATCAATATTCTGTGCTCTCAGGGTGTGAGATCAATATTCTGTGCTCTCAGGGTGTGAGATCAATATTCTGTGCTCTCAGGGTGTGAGATCAATATTCTGTGCTCTCAGGGTGTGAGATCAATATTCTGTGCTCTCAGGGTGTGAGATCAATATTCTGTGCTCTCAGGGTGTGAGATCAATATTCTGTGCTCTCAGGGTGTGAGATCAATATTCTGTGCTCTCAGGGTGTGAGATCAATATTCTGTGCTCTCAGGGTGTGAGATCAATATTCTGTGCTCTCAGGGTGTGAGATCAATATTCTGTGCTCTCAGGGTGTGAGATCAATATTCTGTGCTCTCAGGGTGTGAGATCAATATTCTGTGCTCTCAGGGTGTGAGATCAATATTCTGTGCTCTCAGGGTGTGAGATCAATATTCTGTGCTCTCAGGGTGTGAGATCAATATTCTGTGCTCTCAGGGTGTGAGATCAATATTCTGTGCTCTCAGGGTGTGAGATCAATATTCTGTGCTCTCAGGGTGTGTGATCAATATTCTGTGCTCTCAGGGTGTGTGATCAATATTCTGTGCTCTCAGGGTGTGAGATCAATATTCTGTGCTCTCAGGGTGTGAGATCAATATTCTGTGCTCTCAGGGTGTGAGATCAATATTCTGTGCTCTCAGGGTGTGTGATCAATATTCTGTGCTCTCAGGGTGTGAGATCAATATTCTGTGCTCTCAGGGTGTGAGATCAATATTCTGTGCTCTCAGGGTGTGAGATCAATATTCTGGTATGACCAAAACTCAAAGCGCTCACATGCACTCGCAGCCCGCATACTTCCTCTCGCTGCTCAAAGTGAGCTGGTGGTGCGGTGGTGATCTCAAAGTGAGTATTGAGTATTTGAAACGTCTCAACTTAAAGCCTTGCTTGCTTTCACAGCCGGCGTACTTCCTCTCGCTGGTCAAGGTGTGCATTGGTGTTTTGGTGGGTTGAAGTTGGTTCAGGACGTTGAGACGACTCAAAGCCACTGCATGCACTCAGATTATACCCATCCCAATGTCCCCATTGTCATTTTTGAGTCAACTGAAAGCACAATCTCCCTGTTTCCATGGTGCACACTTGATTCGTTTACTTAGTTGTCCCAAGCCTAACCAATCTCCCTCCTACTCTTATTCCATCCATTGCCATGCTTCCCAGCAAGTGTGCTTCAACCTGAACAAGAAATGACTGCACAAGTGACATGACATCCCATGTCATGACATTTTTTTAGTCTACACAAAAATTACTCTCCCTCAATACTCCCATCCCACCGATTTCCATGCTGCCAGCAAGTGCGCTTCAACCTGAACAAGAAATGACTGCAGCAGTGACATGCCGCATCCCATGGTGTGTCATGACATAACACGACACAACACGACACCCTTACCATGCCATGCCAGCAATTGAGGGGAATTTTGTTGCTTTCTTGTGCTGGTTGGGTTACCATGTGGTTGCAGACAGTGTAATGTATTAATGGTTCTACAGAATATCCTACTTGGTAGGCTTCCTTGGGGTCGTTTGAAATTGGGTAGATACCAAAACAAAAACACAATGCGGCGGTGTCCTAATGTACCGGTAGTTGGAGCTAGTAGGGCAGCTGGATACAAGCAACGAAAAGCTGTGTAACACAGATAACGTGTCCTGCTGTGCTACAACAGAGCATGCACACTGCACTACACTACGCTACCATGCAGCACATGCAGTGCAGACTCATTTCCCACAAGCCACACCGCACCTCACAAAACACCCTGGGCATCTATCACCACCTCTCAACCAGAACAGATACTCAAATGTCTCCATTGTCCTTAAGAGTTTTCCCTACCCTAGCAACAGGGCTCTCCCCTAGAATAGGTGTCATGTAAACTGCTCCTGCGCCCCCTGCAAATCCCAGAAGATTCTTAATCAACGGTACAAGATCAGCCGTTCGATCGACGACAGGGAACACCCCAAACGCCAGCAGCAGAAGCAGCCATAGAGGGGAGAAAATCGCCACCCATTGCCAGGAAGCTTCCACTTGGCCTTGGGGCGGGAGCCGCGCAGAAAAGCCGAATACCGCACCTGCAGCTACGGAAACGCCGAGCGTGAGGAAGTAGAGGTCGTCTACCAAGCCGGGGACCTTGAGGCAGCCGTTAGGTTCGGCAAGACAGGTTCGGATGGCATCGACCGACCGAGTGAGAGCTTCGGACTCGCCCTCTTGCCGGACGAAGAACTGATTGCCATACCTGACGTGGAGGTACGGGTTCGGGACACAAGGGTTGGACGAGTGAAAGGAGGAGAGGTTTCTAAGGAAAGCAGGTTATTAAGCAATGCAAGTGAGAAGAAGGTTGACAGGTGAACGGAAGGATGAGAGGGGGGGCAGAGGCGAGGCAGAAGGGAGATGGAAGGGAAAATGGATTGGAGGGGGAGGGAGATGGAGGGGAGGAGGCGGAGGGGGTAAGAGCATATGGTGGTCCCAGATGGGCATGTGAAGAACTGGTAGGGCAGCTTGGATAGAACAGCCTTGCCGCTGCACCAGATGGTAACTGCAATGAGAAGCGCCTTGTAGTGTAGTACCAGTTCGGTATGTATATGTACCAGTCTATAAAAATATGTAACATATATGCGTTAACGCACCTAGACTGTAGCTCCATGAAGAACTGGTAGGGCAGCTTGGACCGCACAGCCTCACTGATGGCAACTGAAATGTGAACCTTGTACACGAAACTGAGACACCTTAAAAGGGGAATTACCTGGATTGCAGCTCTGTGAAGAACTGGTAGGGCAGCTTGGACCGCACAGCCTCACTGATGGCAACTGAAATGTGAACCTTGTACACGAAACTGAGACACCTTAAAAGGGGAATTACCTGGATTGCAGCTCTGTGAAGAACTGGTAGGGCAGCTTGGACCGCACAGCCTCACTGATGGCAACTGAAATGTGAACCTTGTACACGAAACTGAGACACCTTAAAAGGGGAATTACCTGGATTGCAGCTCTGTGAAGAACTGGTAGGGCAGCTTGGACCGCACAGCCTCACTGATGGCAACTGAAATGTGAACCTTGTACACGAAACTGAGACACCTTAAAAGAGGAATTACCTGGATTGCAGCTCTGTGAAGAACTGGTAGGGCAGCTTGGACCGCACAGCCTCTCCAATGCTGAAGCTGAGGATGTTGGGTGATGCCACGTCAGCCACCACGATCACCGTCCGATCCGACGGCTGCAACGCGAGCGGAGAAAAATGAGAGAATTAAAGGGATTGATGAGCTAAGGAGTTCAGTTGCGAGACTTGCTAAATGAGCGACCAGAGGTGTCATGTGAGCAACAAAGGGGAGGGGCACCTCTAAGTATGATGAAAATCTCGCCATGAGTTAGAGATGTGAGCAACGAGGGGAGAGCGGCATGAGTTGGAAAAACAAAACACAGAGTTTGAGCATGGAAGGTTCGCCACCTCTAATATCTGTTTGTTTGTTTGTTTGTTTGTTTTTGGTTTTTTTTTGTTTTTTTTTTTTTCCATAAAAGAAGCTCCCAGGCCCTCAGGCTCATCCTCGTTATTACTGAAGCGCTGCTCTCTTGAAGTCACAATGTCGCGCTCCTGATTTATATCCTCCAAGGTTCACAACTTTCCAGAGTTCAATGGCGACACCATTCCCAGTCACTGGTTCCTACAACCTCCCATTCCCCAGCAGTCTCCCCTCACACCTCTCACTCTCACTCTCTCTTGTCCTCGTAAAATCTTATGCTCCTACCGTATTACCCCCTTACCCTCAACCATGTCTCAATCATCCAATCAAGGTCGCAACTTTTAGCTGATAGACCCACTTCCTTTCACACAATCACTCAATACCCCACAAATTCCGCTCTTCATTCCTCCCACCCCTCCACCCCCCACCCCCCCACCCTTCCCCCCTTTTCCCCCTCTTCCAGCCTCTCACCTGCCACAAGTCGCGGATCTGTTTGCCATCTAAACCGCTCTTCACCCCGTACCGCGTCGCCACGCGGATCCGCCACCCGTCGCGCGACTCCAGATCCGACAGCTGTCGCAGCATCGCGCCGCGCTGGCTTTCCGTCAGCAGACGCGCTCCGTCCAGCACCTTGGGAGCTTCCGCCGTCTCCGCCGCCGCCGTTTCCGCAGCGTCCGTCGTTTCTAGGATGTCAGTGGATGTGACCGTTAAGAGCGGCGCGGTTCGCAGTTGAGAAGCCGCGACTCGCGCAAGAAACGGAATGCCGTTTTCCTGGCGCGACGCGTCGCTTGAGCGTCGAATCTCCTGCGGAAGCGGAGCGCTTGCCACGTCAACTGCCACGTCATCAGCCGCTACCGCGGACGAGCTGCTGACGAGGAGTGCGACGGAGGCGATTAAAGAGGCCTGGGCTGCGACAGATATCGACCGAGTCGCGAAGTTCTCGACGGCTGCGGTTAGCGCGTTGGTACCAGCGGCACCGCCATTGACAACTTTTACTAATCTCGTAACAGCAGCAGCATCCGCGGATGGCGCTGATACACCAGCCGTCGCGGCTGCGTGAAGGTTAAAGCAGCGGTTTAAGCGGCGATGGAAGAGGCGGAGGGGAGAAGATGACTGGTGGGAGAGACGCAGGGTGAGGCTGGCATTACGGAGGGTGGACAATCCTCCTTGTGAGCTGCACTGAACTGTCGCCGCCATGACACACGGCGCGACTAGCCGGCGCGGGTATCAAGCGATTCAGCTGCGAAGTTAGCGAAGACGGTATCGCCGACAAAGCCTTGTAGTACTGATCAGTACGAAAACCCGCGAAAGCTAGCCGTATTCCCACGGGAAGGATGTGTTTCAGCAATCGCGTATATATTCAGGAAATGGTACGTAATATATACATATTCACGGATCGCGCATTTAGTGAGGTGGCTGAAGAAGCTGGTATCAGCTAATCTCCACCACTCATGAGCCTGACGACGACAACCCATTTCCGCGGCTAGTTTAGTCCGCACCGACGAGCGAAGCTTCTGCAGCGGCAGCGCGTTGTAGCTGCTAGCGTGTCACGCGGCTGGGGAAACACAAACGGAAGTGAGCAGCGAGAGAGGGAGTAAGGAGCGGAAATGACGTGGATTCGGAAAGCGCACGCGAAGTTTAGTAGTGAGCAAGTAAATAAGCGAGCAGTGGCCACGGGAATCCCTGCTAAGCATGACTCCAGGGCGTATTCTGATGACAGGCCGGTCATGCAAGAAGCACCACTGACCTTTCAAGCCAGACTAGAGCTGTTAGGCAAGTCAGGCTGAGATATTTACCACTTACGTAAACTCTTAAAAGGCGCTAAGCGGAAGGAGGACAAGCTCGTTTCAATCCGTCACGAACAGAATCGAGATGCAGTGTGGAGTGATGGCATCCGTCGATGAAGCTGCACGGGAAGGCTCACCGTTCATCGCACGGACGAAAACACAGCCCAGTCGCCGCGTGTGCCTCCACGTCATCCGTTCTGACAGCAGAGTGGACAGGACAATCCTACTCAAGAAAATACATTGCTACGGCTTCGTACCAGGTCATGGGGATGTTCTGTTATAAACAAGCAAGTCTAGGACGAAACAAGTCTAAAAGGGCAAGGAAGCTGCAGTTAGAGATAATATACTATTTCACACAGATAGTCTACAATGGTACTGCAATCTGAAATTTTGGCTGTAGAGCCAAGTTCCCCTCCACCTTACATCCCTCATTCACATGCCCATCACATACCCATCCGTGCAGAGGCAACCGGAGCAGAGGGCGAGCAGTGAGAATCATCCACCCTGTTTCTCGTATCCGACCCCCTCTGGCCTCTTGGCCTCTGCTGCCCTTGTCCCTGCCCCTGCCCATGCCCATGCCCATGCCCCTGCCCTTGCCCCTGCCCCTGCTCCTGCCCCTGCCTGCGCTCATGGCCCCGCTCCTGTTCCTCCTCATACACCATCTCACTGAATGAGTGGGACCTCCCTCGTGCCCTTTCATTCCCTCGTTCCTGCTGCTGCCTCGACCTACCGTCTGCATGCTCTTGCTGATGCTGCTCCTGCTGCTGCCTCCACCTACCGTCCACATACTGCGGCGGCTGCTGCTGCTGCTGCTGCTGCTGCTGCTGCTGTGACCGACCATCGGCATACTGCTGCTTCTGCTGTTGCGAGCTCTCTCGTTGCCGCACATAATCCACCCTTCTCCTCTCCCCCTCTTCCACGCGACTCTCTTCCTCTCCATCCCCTCCTGCCCTCCTGCTTCCACCACCATTCCCCGCCTCCCTTTCCCCTCTTCCACCCCCACTCCCTCCCTCCCGCTCCCCTCTACCACCACCACCACTCCCTGCCTCCCGCTCTCCTCTACCTTCAAAACACCCTTCCCCTTCAAGACTAGGTCTCCTTAGATGAGACGACTTTCTAGTCCTCCTCACCCCCTCCCTCATGCTCTCCCTCCCACTTCCTGCCGGCCAGGTATCCCCCACCGGAGGCCCAGTACAACCCCCACCCGCCGCACCAATACCCCCAGAAACCGGGGGTAAATACAGCTCATACCCGTGTCCGACGCTCCTCGACCTCCGGTACGACCCGTCTTCCGAACCTCCCCCTACGTCCGGCATGGCAGTGGAGGGTCGGCGCCGCGTCACCTCGGTTCGGTTCCGCCGAGCCTGCGGACGGCTGTACGGGCTACGTCCGGGAGATTCATCGTCAGCTTCGACATCGTAATCCCCTCTACCACCACCACCATAGCCTTGCGAACCCTGCTGCTGGTACTGCTGCTGCTGATACTGCTGCGGCGGCTTCCCATGCTGGTGGTGTTCCTCTATTGAAGCCTGCATTAAAGCCCGCCCCACCAGCCCATGCTCATCAACAGACACAGTCCTGCGATGGGGTATTGTGGACCTGTGGTGGGGATGATGCCCAGCAAGAGGTGGGAGAATTACTGCTGTGGAGGACCGGGGAGGGCGGACACGCGAGGAGGAGGAGGAGGAGGAGGTGGGGAGGGAGGCGTGGGGGGAGTATGTGCGTCGTTCGGAAGAGAGAGGGCTTCCGGGGTTGGGGGAGGGGGAGGAGGGGAGGCCAGGGAGGGTGGGAGCTTCGGGGGAGTTGGTCCCGTTAAGAGTGCCGATTCCACTGAAGCTACGACTCCTGGTGAGGAGTGAGGGGAGAAGAAGGCGGGTGGGAGGGGAATGCGGGAGAGGAAGAGGTGCATAGAAAGGGAATGGGAAAGGAGTGGAGTTTGGAAAAGGAAGAGCTAGAGAGGAAAGCTGGGAGGGTGGGGGCTCCGGGGAGTTGGTCCAGTTAAGAGTGCCGATTCCACTGAAGCTGCAACTCCTGGTGGAGAGGGAGGGGGAGAGGAAGGGAATGGGGGATGAGAGTGTGGAAGAGGAACAAGTGAATAGGAAAGAGGGAGGGGTGGGGGCAGTTGGTCCCAGTGGGAGGGTAGTGTGGAAGGCAGAGAGGTGAATAGGAAGGGAATGAGGACGGAAGGGAATGGGGGAGGAGAAGAATGTGGGAGAGGAAGAGGTACGTAAGGGAGGGGGGGAATTGATATGATTTTCGCAGAGTGAGGAAAAAAGCAAGGACCCTCCGGTTTGAATCGGAATGATAGAGGAAAAAGGGTGTGTGGCATGCGGCAATGTTACTCTCTCATTCATACACTTTAGCATTTTGCAAGCATATTAGTCCAGAATAACGCAGCTTGAGGCCTGTATGTACTTGCATCAGCTGTAGAAGCTTTATGTAAAATCAAAATCACATGAGTCAGTTCCATGTGCTCCATTCTATAGATAATACAGTATGTCTGCTTGACTAATGAACATGCTTCCAAACGCATCCCCATTGTATAGCATGCCAACTAAATATATGCCTAATATGCCTGCGTCATGTATGCCTGAGTCGAATAACCGTATTGTAGGTAACGTGGTGCCTTTTGGTCATATCATGCTATCGTCATAATGTAGTTACAAACCATTGTCACTAACCTGTAGCCTTTGTTATGCCTTGACACTGGATATAACTCACGCTTGTTCATGGTCAGCATTGGATATATCTCTCGGAGAGAACTTAGGTAGCATCTGTGCATGTGTGATTCTGTTCTTAGTGTATTAGTTTCATTAAGCGTCAGTGTACAGTGTACGCTCACCTGAATCCTCGCCGATGCTTTGACGAAGCGTCTCTCGTGGGGGTCAACTCGCGTTCGTCGTCCTTCCCCTCGCCATAGTCACCGTCCTGCGTAATCGTCACTTCCCACGCGCGCGCGCTGCCTTCCCCCTTTGCACCCCGCGCAACCCCGCTCCGCCGCCCGCTACCGAACTCGCCCACACCCCCAATCGGCCCCGCCTGCGCCATACTTTCGAAACTCCCCCCCTTCGCTCCTCGGCGCAAAACTTGCGCGCTTCTCTCCACGTTTCCGCCACTTTCCCCGGGCCATCCCGCACCTCCGTTCGCGATCACACCATCCCCTGCGCCTCCCGCACTAAAGCCGCTACTCGAACCAACGCTCGCGCTTTTAAAGGCTTCCCTCCTCCGCCCCTGGCGGGACGCCGCCTCTTCTTCCGCGTCTAGCTGCTCCGCTTCCGCCACCGCTTCCCGGTGCCGGTCGAACGAAAAATATGCCACCTTTGGCGGCGGAGCTGGCGCTGCAGCTGCGCGCGAAGGCGCGCAAATCGGGGACCTGGGCCGCGGAAATGCAGGCGATCTAGGACGGGCGTTACCGCCGCCACCACCGCCGCCGTTACCGCCGCTGCCGCTGCCGACGCTCCCGCTACGGGCGACACCACTTATGCCGCTGCCGACGCTCCCGCTGCGGTGTTCCGAACCGTTCCCGGCGGCGTCGCTGCTCGCTTCCCCTCTCACGCTATCCCGGTTATTGTTCCGCGATTTCCCCGCGCTGCCGCTGCGGGGATTCTGCGGGGGCGACTCCGCGCGCCCCCCGCAGGCGGAACCGGAAGCGAGACCAGATGCCGCCCATTGCTGCTGCGACAGCTGAAGCTTCTGATGCTGCTGCTGCTGTTGCTGTTGCTGCGGATATTGCTTAGCTTGCTGCGTCAGCTCGAGCGAAGCGGCGTCGGAGGTGCAAACGGTTGCGGAACGGCGGAAAAAATCAGGGAGGGATTCTTCCCCGTCTTCCACCGACATGGAAGCGGGAATAGCGCCGCTGCTGCTTCCGCCACCGCTGCTTCCGCCCGTGCTGCTTCCGCCGCCGATGCTAGTCCTCATTGTAGCGCGCGTGAATGTCGCGGACCGCATCGGCGAAGGCGCGTCGTCTTCCGCGAAACTTCGACGACGCGGATTGGACCACACTCGGGCTGCTTGTCCGCCGGTTTTAATCACCTGCTCGAGAAACCGCTCCTTCTTCCCGCTTCCCCCGCTCCTGCCTTCCGCGCTCCCCGCCGTGCCGCTTCCCCCAGTGCCGGTCCCCGCTGTCCCTCCGCCTCCGCCATCTCCCCCTTCTTCCCCTCCTTTCGCGCCGTTCCGAAACGACCAGAGGCGCTGGAACTTTCCACCTCCGTCCTTGCCGCCCCCGCCGCTGGCCCCCCCGCTCGACGAGCGGCCGCTCCCCCCGCCCGCGGACTCCGTAACCGTCTTGGTCTTGACGAAATTCGCGAAGTTTCGCAAGTCGGATTCGCTGATCTTGGACGCGGTTCCCCCCGGGCGCGAGTGCAGCGGAGACGTGCTGCTGCGCGATCGGGGGACAATGTCGTGTTGGGGGGGAACGGAGAGCGGAGTTTCGTCCGCCAGGGTCTCCCATGCTTCGTCTAATAATTGCCCCGAGTCTTTTCGGTGGTGCCCGCCAGCTGTGGCTTCGCTTCCATCATCGTTAAAGTAGTATCTCGAGACGGGGCTGCTGAGGGGGCTGTAGCTCAGCGGGCTGTAGCACTCGTCTCGAGCGGCCATGGTTACCTGAAGTCCTATTACACAAATTCTATGTTCAACGCGTACTTAAACGCGTATGGGTACTGAGCAGGACAGGTTGAGGCTTAACGCGAATGGTGCTGCCCCTAATAGACTTAAGTGCCTCTCATTGACGCAGTAGGTGGTGCCGACCCATTGACACATCGACTCATATTGCTGACCTAAGTACTTTATGCCATCTTAGCCTGCTAGACGATCCATCCAGTATATTGAGCAGCTTACAATCAACATGCGTGCAGTAAGCGGCAATTTGACGCGAACGGAATCACTTCTCAATGTAGAGCCGTGTTCGCGAAATAATTACCGATTTAGTCGCCAGGCGCGACGATAGCAGACTAAGATGTGGTTAGGGGGGACTGACTCTCTTGCACAGCTGTACGGTAGTTGGTGCAGTTTAGGGCAGTTGAGCACTGATGAAAGGAACCAGATTATGTCGACGATCGCTACAGTGGGTGTTGCGTCTCGCCGAAATAATTCGTGACAGGGTTACAGATACACATGCCTTGGTGTCCCCAAGTGTGTGCGGGCACCTGTGGCGGGCAATGGAGCATCCAGTAACCAATCGGATGTTGGCCAACAAGCTGAGTGGAGCAAAACAGACCACTCTGCCCGATTATAAATTTCCAACCACAAAACGAACTCCCACTGGCCACCACACCTCAAAATGGGTGGTGGGAAACCTAAGAGTATCGGTCAAATTCATGGGCGGACTCGACTGGCGGTACGTGTACTTCGAACAAACAGACCCCAGTGACAAAAAAGTGTAGCTCGGCTTCCATTCAACAGCAGGGGTTTCCCACAGTTACGACTGCTTTTGTTGTACACTTCAATACCCAAAAAAAAGCAGGGGTTTCCCAGTGTCACCTTTTAGTACACGTACAGTTGGGTGATTTGCAAAGGATTGCAAGTTCATGCAAGCACTGCCGCCACATAACTCCGAGGGGCGGACGGGAAACTTTTCACTCCTCGCCTGGCTGGAACCTAGCTGGCAAGGGTTTGTCGTCACCTCCGGTACAGTTGACGGATGTGAGGTAGCGGATTACAGCAGAGAGCTCAGTGCAGATGAACAATACACTTATTGAGTTCAAGACATTTCTTTATCAATTAGCAGTGCAAAATGTGAAATGGCCAGTTGCTCTATAATACACACGCTAATCTTGGTGCACGTGAAGTATATTGAGCCACCAAAGGTATCCTCGGCAGCTCCACCAGCCTGGCATATTGGGTATCACAGGAACACCACCACAAGCAGCAGCAACCAACACACCAGCAGCACAGCGCACCGCCACCACCACCAAGACAACCATCACCCTCACCATCACCACCTCCATTCAAGCAGCAGCGACAGCACGACTAGCAACTGCAGCTGCCTCTGCAGTCTCTGCCACATCTGCCGTCTCTGCTGCCTCTGCAGCTCCGGCAGTCGAGAAATCTCATAAACCAGGCAGTGACGCGTGATCAACGTTGAGCGGGGTGGGGCTTCTCACTCCCTGCAGTCGAGAACTCTCTTAAACCAGGCAATGACATGCCACTAACGTTGAGCGGGGTGGGGCTTCTCACTCCCTGCAGTCGAGAACTCTCTTAAACCAGGCAATGACATGCCACTAACGTTGAGCGGGGTGGGGCTTCTCACTCCCTGCAGTCGAGAACTCTCATAAACCAGGCAGTGACGCGTGATCAACGTTGAGCGGGGTGGGGCTTCTCACTCCCTGCAGTCGAGAACTCTCTTAAACCAGGCAATGACATGCCACTAACGTTGAGCGGGGTGGGGCTTCTCACTCCCTGCAGTCGAGAACTCTCTTAAACCAGGCAATGACATGCCACTAACGTTGAGCGGGGTGGGGCTTCTCACTCCCTGCAGTCGAGAACTCTCTTAAACCAGGCAATGACATGCCACTAACGACGAGCGGGGTGGGGCTTCTCACTCCCTGCTGCCGCTTCTGCAGCCTCCCTCCCCCGCCCTCCCCTCCCTCCCCCCCCTCCCCCCCCGCCCCGTCCCCTCTCCTCCAATTTCTGCAGCCTCTCTGCAGTCGAGAACTCTCTTAAACCAGGCAATGACGTGCCACTAACGACGAGCGGGGTGGGGCTTCACAATCCCTGCTGCCGCCTCTGCAGCCAAGTACACCTGGTCCTTGTTCAGCAGCTCGTCTGCTTGCTCCTGGGGGTGGGGGAAAAAATGGAGAGCAGGAGCGGGAGAGCAGGAGGTATTTTGTGACGTTTTAGCCCAGAGCCATGCAGCCGCCTCTGCAGCCAAGTAGACCTGGTCCTTGTTCAGAAGCTCGTCTGCTTGCTCCTGGGCGAGGGAAAGAGGCGTGAAAGTGGGGGCAAGTGGGGGAGGGAAGGGTTTCAAGACGTCTCTCTGATACCCTGCTGCCGCTTCTGCAGCCAAGTACACCTGGTCCTTGTTCAGCAGCTCGTCCACTTGCTCCTGTGTGGAGGGATTGAGGTTGGGGGTGAGGGGAGGGGCTTGGGAGTGAATGAGTCATCTCTGCCTCTGCAGCCAAGTAGACCTGGTCCTTGTTCAGAAGCTCGTCTGCTTGCTCCTGGGCGAGGGAAAGAGGCGTGAAAGTGGGGGGAAGCAGGGGAGGGAAGGGTTTCAAGACGTCTCTCTGATACCCTGCTGCAGCTTCTGCAGCCAAGTACACCTGGTCCTTGTTCAGCAGCTTGTCCGCTTGCTCCTGTGGAATGGGGAGGAGGGAGAGAGGGCAGGGTTTTGAGACGTCTGCTGCCGCCTCTGCAGCTACACATGGTCCTTGTTCAGTAGCTCGTCTGCTTGCTCCTGGTAAAAAAGGGCAGTGGGGAAAGGAGAACAGGAGTGGTAGGTGGGGGATGGGGAGGGTGGGAGAGGGAGGGAAAAGAGAGAAGGGTAATGGTAAAACGCGTTTGGCTGTGCACCCGGTGAATCACTTGTATTCGGTGCCTGGGGTGAATGATCTGTAATGATTCAGAGGGTATATCATCAGTTACTTGTGGCAAGGGTGATTTACCTGTACTGTAGTCTTTGAAATGGATACACGAGAATAAACTGAACCAAGACCTGTCATAAGTGAGAAGGTAAGTCACATACATTTGTGGCAAGGGTGATTTACCTGTAATCTGTGCAGAAGATACATGAGGAATAGATGAACGAAGACCTGTCGTGGTGATGATATGAGGAGAGACGGATAAGGGGATGGTGATGGTGATGTAATCTGTGCAGCAAGAATAGATGAACGAAGACCTGTCATGGGAATGTGAATAACATAGAAGGATAAGAGAATGGTGATAGCGACGGTGGCAGTTATGGTACATACACAAGAAAATAGAGAAGGAAAAGGGTAGCAAAAGCACGGGTAAAAGAAGGCCAACAGAGCGACTGTGGGTGAGTGTTTCCTTCTCTTTTTTTCCAAAACCACAGAGTCCCACCCCTAGTTTACATTATTTCTTTCTTTATTTATTTCTTTCTTTCTTTCTTTCTTTCTTTCTTTCTTTCTTTCTTTCTTTCTTTCTTTCTTTCTTTCTTTCTTTCTTTCTTTCTTTCTTTCTTTTTTTTTCGTTCTTTCTTTCTTTTGGGCGAGCCAGTACCAGGTAGCAGACAAGTCCAAGACGGGCCAGTGGGCGGCGCCAGAGGAAACGACCGGCAGTCACTGTGCCGTGATCGATGAGCTTTGCTGCTTGCTGTGGAGGGGAAGAAAGAGGGGGGTGGGGGGAACCAAGGAGCGGGGGTGGGGGTGGTGGGGAGAGTCTCGGAATGGGTTTTATGGATGTGCGGAAAAAAGCAGCTACCAGTCACTATGCTGTGATCGTAGAGCTTAGCTGCTTTGATGTGGCGAGCAATAACGGAGAGGAGGAGAAAGAGGAGCACCGGGGAAGAATGAACGGACTTGGGACCTGTCATGTAATAAGACCTGCAATGCAACCTCCTTTCCAGAAGGAGCGAGGTGACTTCAGAGACAACCAGAAAACGAACTTCCTGGGTCCTGGGACCTCATTTCCAATGAATAACGCCCTCCAATAACGTCCACTGGAAACCAAGGCTCCACTCGTGTGCACCTCACCTGGATTGGAGTTGCTTTTCAGTTTTTTTTTTTTTTTTTTTTTTTTTTTTTTTTTTTTTTTTTCACGTCATGAATTGAGCACGAACCCCCCTCCACGTCTACCCCACCCCCCGAGTCCTAAGACATCAATCGTGTGTGTCTCACTCACCTGAATCCTCTTGCCAATGAAGCGCCGGTTGGGGAGACCCACGGACCTGTGGGAGGTGAGAAGCGGCAAGTGAAGGCAACTATTGGTGAGATGCATTGACATGAGTTGAGAAATGGTGAAAGGCAGTGAAAAGTGGTGAGACGAGTTGACAAGAGTTAAAAAGAGGCGAAAGCGGACAAGACGTCTTCTACACAACCACCACTACCACCACCACACACATCACCACACATCACCACACACATCACCACACACACCATCACGCCGCAGAACACCGAAGCACTGCAGAGCACCACTCACTCCAGAGGCTGCATCTCGCTGTCCTCCTCGTCTGCAGCCATCAGAATCGACCGGCGTGCCGCTCTGTCCCTCTCTGCCTGCGCCTGAAAGGGACGGAAGGGGGAGGAGAGAAAAGGAGGATGGGCCATAAAAGGAGGATGGGCCATAAAAATTCAGACTCCCCATCAGAATCGACCGGCGTGCCGCTCTGTCCCTCTCTGCCTGCGCCTGAAAGCAATGGGAGGGGTGAGAGAGAAATAGAATGTTTATGAATGGAATGGGGCATAAGGTTCAGTTCATACCATCAGCTCAGCACCAATTGACCGGTTTACATCTGGCAGAGGCAACATCAACATAAAATGCACCGACGCGTGGTTTACCTTGACCAATTGCAGCTCTCGCCTCTCCTTGTCCAGTTGCAGCATTGCCGCTTGCCTCTCACTCGTCAATGTTTCTAACTGATTCCGTTGAGGCACATTTAACCATTGAGGGTGCCTAGCCGAAGAGGTTTACCTTGGCCAATTGCAGTTCTCTTCTCTCTTTGTCCAGTTGCAGCATCGCTGCTTGCCTCTCACTTGTCATCGTTTCCAGTTGACTCTGCTTCAGACACTGCAATGTGGGGAGGGGAGGGGAGGGGAGGGGAGAGTGGGGAATGGAGTGAATCAGCCGAAGCAGCAGCATCGCTGCCTGCCGTTCACTTGTCATCGGGAAGGAAGAGGAATGAGAGGGGGCAGAGAAATGGGGGGGGGGGGGGGGGGATTGGCAACACAGTGTGTGGGTAGGGAGTGGTGGGTGGAATATAAAAAAAAAAGAGTTATATGCTATGGTTGTGACTTGGAGTGGTGTGGTGGGTAGGTAGGTACAGGTGTATTTTGAGGCGCCTCAATGAGTCTTGAAGTGATGACTCACGACTTGAAGTGATGGATTCGTACAGCTGCCTGATGACCTTAACAATGCGATGATGATAAACATAGCAAAGAATTCTGGCACAACATTTACAGACTCTGTCAATCGGCTCTGCTAAATGTTATCAGGTAGACGATTGACTCTCTTTTTGAGGCTCCTCAAAAGTCGGCTCTGCTAAATGTTAGTAGGTAGACGATTGACTCTCTGACAAGCTCTGACACTCACCAGCATGTCTGTCAAATCTCTAAGAACTCTGTCAACTCCTTAACAGATTCTGTCACACTTATCAGCAGCTTTTTGAACTTGCTGACTGACTCTGTCACCAGCAGCTCTGTCAACTCACCAGCAGCTCTGTCAACTCACCAGCAGCTCTGTCAACTCACCAGCAGCTCTGTCAACTCCTTGAACCGTTTCTCCATTTCTGCATTGGCCTGCGCAGATAGAGGAGAGGGGGGAGCGGAGGGAGCGGAGGGTGAGGAGGGTGAGGAGCGGAGAGGAGGGTGAGGCGGGTTAGGTGAGGCAAGGAGAGCAGAGGAGAGGAGAGGAGGGGAGTGTGGGGGGGAAGAGGAAGGAGAGGGAAGAAAAAGAGAAGATGAGCAAAACACGAGCAGACACGGAGGGAATTCAAGAGAGCCCCCACCTTGAGGAAGGAATATGAATGGCAGAGCGGAAAATGCAGATGAACATGCACTGCACATCACTGTAAAAAGGATACAGAACATGCTGCAGTGTGTGTTTTTTGAGAATTCTCAAAAAGGATACAGAACATGCCTGTAACGAGGATGAATCTGCGTCCCTCTTGTGGGCTTCCACCTCCACCCGCAGCTTCTGCACCTCTGCCTGCACGCATGGGCCAGGGGAGAGAATGATGGATGGATGGGTTGTAAGGTGGGTGAGGAATTTGGGAAGGGTTACAGCACATGCCTCCCCCCTCTTGTGAGCCTCCACCTCCACCCGCAGCTTCTGCACCTCTGCCTGCACGCATGGGCCAGGGGAGAGAATGATGGATGGATGGGTTGTAAGGTGGGTGAGGAATTTGGGAAGGGTTACAGCACATGCCTCCCCCCTCTTGTGAGCCTCCACCTCCACCCGCAGCTTCTGCACCTCTGCCTGCACGCATGGGCCAGGGGAGAGAATGATGGATGGATGGGTTGTAAGGTGGGTGAGGAATTTGGGAAGGGTTACAGCACATGCCTCCCCCCTCTTGTGAGCCTCCACCTCCACCCGCAGCTTCTGCACCTCTGCCTGCACGCATGGGCCAGGAACGACGGGATAGAGAGATAGGTGGATGGGGCATGTGCTCGTTATAGGGAAAGACAAGGATGGATCCTTGCTCGTTAAGGATGGGCAAGCAGGATCCAACATTGTCCCTCGCAGCGCAGCTTCACTCGCAAGCAGGATGGATCCATGCCTGTGAGCCTCCACCTCCACCCTCAGCTTCTGCACCTCTGCCTGCATGGGTGGGCCAGGAGAGAGAATGATGATGGGCAGTAAGTGGGCGGGGAGTGGAGGGTGACGCTACAGCACATGCATCAACTGTCACTCGTGTGAGCCTCCACCTCCACCCTCAGCTTCTGCACCTCTGCCTGCATGGGTGGGCCAGGAGAGAGAATGATGATGGGCAGTAAGTGGGCGGGGAGTGGAGGGTGACGCTACAGCACATGCATCAACTGTCACTCGTGTGAGCCTCCACCTCCACCCTCAGCTTCTGCGCCTCTGCCTGCATGGGTGGGCCAGGAGAGAGAATGATGATGGGCAGTAAGTGGGCGGGGAGTGGAGGGTGACGCTACAGCACATGCATCAACTGTCACTCGTGTGAGCCTCCACCTCCACCCTCAGCTTCTGCACCTCTGCCTGCATGGGTGGGCCAGGAGAGAGAATGATGATGGGCAGTAAGTGGGCGGGGAGTGGAGGGTGACGCTACAGCACATGCATCAACTGTCACTCGTGTGAGCCTCCACCTCCACCCTCAGCTTCTGCACCTCTGCCTGCACGCATGGGCAGATAGGGATAGGGGGATCGGGGGGGATAGAGGGATAAGGGGGAGAGAGAGAGACAGGGAGACAGGGTAGGGGGATAGGACGTAAGGGGGATAGGACGTAAGGGGGATAGGGGGATAAGGGGGAGAGGAGGTGACAGCGAGAGAGGGTGACAGTGAGAGCGGGCTGGGAACAGGGTGAGGCGTAAGAGGGCAGATGCTTTTCCACATCTCTATGTGCTTCTCGCCTCTCTACCTACCAGTGTTTCCTCCCCTCCCCTCCCCTCCCCTCCCCTCCCCTCCCCTCCCCTCCCCTCCCCTCCCCTCCCCTCCCCTCCACTCCACTCCCCTCCCCTCCCCTCCCCTCCCCTCCCCTCCCCTCCCCTCCACTCCCCTCCCCTCCACTCCCCTCCCCTCCCCTCCCCTCCCCTCCCCTCCCCTCCACTCCCCTCCCCTCCCCTCCCCTCCCCTCCCATCTGCTCACCTCGCTGCCTGCCAGCTTCCCCTCTGCCTCTCGCAGCAGCTGTCTCGCTCGCTCTGACTCCTCCTTCCATGCCTGGACCTGCTAACAATCAGCGCGTGGGGAAAGGAGGAGGGGGGACAGGGATGGAGTGTTGATACACCTGCTTTATGCAGCTGCCTCGCTCGCTCTGCCTCCTCCTTCCATCCCTGCACCTGCCACCATGCAAGGGCGACGAGATAGAAGGGAGGAAGGGGGCTATGCGGGTGGGGAATAGGGACGGGGGCTAGACAGAGCTGCGTCAAAAGCAGCTGCCTCGCTCGCTCTGACTCCTCCTTCCATGCCTGCACCTGCCAGCATGCAAGGGGTGACAGGGGGGAAGGGAAGGGGGTGTTACGGGTGGGGAATAAGGGCGGGCGATTATTACAAGCCTGCAACAAAGCAGCTGCCCTCGCTAACTCCAACTCCTCCTTCCATAGCCTCCTTGCGTTACCACGTTACCATGGATACATACATGCAGGTACTAGCAACCCACCTGTGCGAGGACGGAGGGGTCGTCTGCTGAGAGAGAGCGGCCACATGGGATGGGATCACTGCGTGTTTTTTGAGAATTCTCAAAAAACACGCGCTGAGAGAGAGCGGCCACATGGGATGGGATCACTCTTGGCCTTTTGCGCAAGCAATGAGCGCCGCGCATGCATGTGTACATAAGCCAGCCAACCTTTTAACAGTCAAACCAAGCTAACAACCCACCTGGGCGGGGACGGAGGGGTCGTCTGCTGCGACTGGTCGCCTGAGATCCCCCTTGGCATTTCCAGTGAGCAATGCGCACAACACAACACATGCACATACACAGACCAACTAACACCAGACAAGCCAACCGGCTAACAAACCCACCCACCTGCGCGAGGACGGAGGGGTCGTCTGCTGTGACTGGTCGCCTGAGATCCCCCTTGGCCTTTCCAGTGAGCAAAGCGCACGACACATGCACATACACAAACCAACTAACACCGGACAAGCCAACTGGCTAACAAACCCACCCACCTGCGCGAGGACGGAGGGGTCATCTGCTGAGACTGGTCGTCGGAGGTCCCTCTTTGCCTTGTCGTCGTGTGCTTGTAGCTCGCTGTTGAGACTGCTGCACTCCATCTGTTACCGGGTAACCATGCATGCATACACACGTGCAGGTACACGCACACATACATGCAGGTATACGCACATGCAGGTACACACACACATTCGTGTACATGCAATGCCAAACATGCATGGACAGGCAGACAGGCACATGTGTATGCAAAAGTAGTCACACGAACATTCATGAATACTTGTCCCTGCAGAAGAATGTAATGCCTGCTCTGCCACAGAGAAATCAAAATAGGATTAGATAAGTCCCCACTTACTAGAAAACTATTCATGTATGCATAAAAACTATTCGAATAACGCCTCACCCACCCACCCTCACTCACTGTCAATCCACCCAACCTTATCCTCATTCCAACCTCAACCGCGACCCACACAATCACCTCAAGTAAAGATATATTTTCTTCCAAGGACGAGACTCGGTGTGTGCGCTCCTCCACTGCCCTCTGCATGCGAGAGAGCGCCGCCACGCCCTCCGCCACCTGCTCTACCCTATGCTGCTCCAACTGAAACACTCTCGCGCTCTCACCCTCTCTCTCACCTCAAGAACAGATATCTTCTCTTCAAGGGATGACACGCGCTGTGTGCGCTCCTCCACTGCCCTCTGCATGCAAGAAAGTGCTGCCACACCCTCTTCCCCCTGCTGCCCCCTACTACTGCTCCAAATCCTACCCTCCCTCACACTCACCTCGAGAACGGATATCTTCTCTTCAAGGGATGACACGCGCTGAGTGCGCTCCTCCACTGCCCTCTGCATGCGAGAAAGCGCTGCCACGCCCTCCGCCACCTGCTGCTCCAACTCCAGCTCGCGTGCCGCTGCTTCCTGTGAATTGAATGTGAGAGAAGGTTGAGCGTGAGTGAAACAGGAGTGAGAGAGCGCCGCCACACCCTCCGCCACCTGCTGCTCCAACTCCAGTTCCTGCGCGGCTGCTTCCTGTGGGAAGGTTGAGAGAGAGACACTTGCCATGCCAAGCAGCAATCAGGACGAGACTCGTAGCTATATAGACTGTAGTAAAAATGAGAGAAGATGTACGCTTTTGAGTCGACTCAAGAGAGGATGTACCCTTTCGAGAGTTCTCAAAAGGTCGATGCACCGTGCTTGATTGATAGCAAAAGCTTGAGAATCCCAAGTGCCGCTCTTCCTGTGTATGAGCCTCACCTGTCGTGTGGCGAGGTGCGCTGCATGCTCGTCGTCGCACCGCCTCTCAGCAGCACCCAGCTCCTCCCTGAGCGCCTGAATCATCCGCGCCTCTGTGGAGTCCCGGTTCTTCGATAAGGCTTCAGAGCTCGCCTGCACTTGGTTGGTTGGTGTGTTGGTGAGACAGCATGGTGGGGTGGGGGGCGGTTGTAAGTCATGTCATGTTCGTAAGACGCCTTTCAGCAGCAGCCAGCTCCTCCCTGAGCGCCTGAATCATCCGCGCCTCTGTGGAGTCCCGGTTCTTGAACAGCGCTTCAGAGCTCGCCTGGAGTTGGGGTGGTGGGATGGCATGGAATGGAGGGGTGGAACGGCATGCTGGTATGACGCCTCACAGCGGCGATGAAGGCGCCGGCAGCAGCAGCAGCAGCAGCAGCAGCAGCAGCAGCCAGATCCTCTCTGAGCGCCTGAATCATCCTTGCCTCTGTGGAGTCCTGGTTCTTGGAGAGTGCTTCTGAACTCGCCTGCAGTAGGGATGGTGGCATGGCATGACAGTATGGTGGAGTGAGAGGGCATGCTGGAATGATAGGTGTGGTGGGGCGGTAGCATGCTATGCTGGTACGGTGGGGTGAGACAGTATGGCGCCTCTCAGCAGCACCCAGCTCCTCTCTGAGCGCCTGAATCATGCGTGCCTCTGTGGAGTCCCGATTCTTCGAGAGTGCTTCAGGGCTCGCCTGGTGGTATGGTGTTGGGATGATGGGTGCTGGTACGACTGGTGTGGTGGGGCAATAACATGCTAGGAGCAGTAGAAACAGCAGCAGCACCCAGCTCCTCTCTGAGCGCCTGAATCATCCGCGCCTCTGTGGAGTCCCGATTCTTGGACAGTGCCTCTGAACTCGCCTGGAGTCGGTTGGTGGGATGGTGTGGGGTGATTGGAGTGGTGGGGGGCGGTACCATGCCATTAGGTTAGGCCAAGAGAGGAGCGGGTACTCTGTCTCGTGATTCTTTGCCTCTTGAGGCGCCTCAAAATGCACCTCACTACACGTGCCTCAAAAGGCGCCTCAAAATGCACCTCACTACACGTGCCTCAAAAGGCGCCTCAAAATGCCATTAGGCCAAGGGAGGAGCGGGTACTCTGTCTCGTGATTCCTTGCCTCCATCCCTTGTGCCACTGACTCTCAACTCCCTCCCTCCCTCCCTCCCTCCCTCCCACCCACCCGCACTCGCACGCACCTGCAGGGAGGCGAGTTTGGCTTGGAGCTGTCAAAAGAGGAAAGGTGGGCTGCGAAGGCCTTACTTCCATCGACTCGTGTTGTAAAACAACGAAACAAACTCCATGGAAAAATGGCGGAAGGGGCCTGGTGTGCGCTAGCTTAGAACGTTATTAAGAGAGCCAGTTCAAGACAAATCTCCGTCCCACCCGCACTCGCACGCACCTCCAGGGAAGCGAGCTTCGCTTGGAGGGCAGCGGACTGCTTCTCAGCATCCTCCAGCGCGCCACACAGCGCCTCTGTCTCCCTGTTTTTAGCTTCCATCCCTGCTGCCCCTGCGTCCCCACACTCGTTTCACTCCCTCCCTCTCTCCTTCGCTCCCCCTTCTACCCCCCTCCCTCCTTCGATTCCTCCCTTCCCTACTCCCTCCTTTCTTCCATCGCTCAAACACTCCCTCCTTCCCTTCCTCGCACGCACGCACCTGCAGCGAGGCGAGCTAAGCTTGGAGAGCAGCGGACTGCCTCTCAGCATCCTCCAACGCGCCACACAGCGCCTCTATCTCCCTGTTCTTAGCTTCCATCCCCGCTGCCCCTACCTTTCAACTCCCTCCCTACCCCCCTCCCTCCCTCCCCCCTCACTAGCACGCACCTGCAGGGAGGCAAGCTTGGCTTGGAGAGCAGCGGAATGTCTCTCAGCATCCTCCAGTGCTCCACACAGCGCCTCTATCTCCCTGTTCTTAGCTTCCATCCCCGCTGCCACTGCTCCTTCTGCTGCCACTGCCTCTGCCCGTGCACTTGCCAACTGCTGCTGCAATGCTCTCACCACACTATCCACTGATCCACGGTTGTTCCTCTGAGGGGAGATAGTGTAAGGTGGGGGAGGAGCAGAGGGGAGTGACAACCTTGTTGCTGCTGCCACTGCCTCTGCCCGTGCACTTGCCAACTGCTGCTGCAATGCTCTCACCACACTATCCACTGATCCACGGTTGTTCCTCTGAGGGGAGACAAGATCAGTTGCAAGGAGGGACGAAGGAGGGAGAGCGGGGGAGAGAGAAGGGGATTGGGTCAGAACTTACTTCTTTTACTGCCGCCGCCTGTTCCGTATCCTTCTTGTTTCTGTTTCTGTTCCTCCTTGCTTTCTTCCTCTGTTTGCTCATCTGCCTCATACCTGTAAATTGTTGCACCTCACTGCACCTCCCATGCACCATTCCCCATCTCCATGCTCCAATCCTCACCTCCTCGTGAAGCAGCTCCTCCAGCTGCTCGTTCTCCGCCTTAAACTCCTGCAGCCCAAGGTAAATGCTCATGCGCATATCTGTCGCACCTCACTCCACCTCACTCCACCTCACTGCACCGCACTGCACCTCATGGCACCTCACTGCACCTCCTCATGCCCCTCCAACCATTCCTCACCTCCTCGTGAAGCAGCTCCTCCAGCTGCTCGTTCTCCGCCTTGTAATCCTGGAGCCTAAGGTAATGTCCATGCGCCTCCTCACACCTGTGGCACCTCGCTGCACCTGACAGCACCTCGCTGCACCTACTCATACACCAATCCTCACCTCCTCGTGAAGCAGCTCCTCCAGCTGCTCGCTCTCCGCCTTGTAATCCTGCAGCCAAAGGTAATATCATATCATGTGCCTCATGCCTGTCGCACTGCACTGCACCTCCTCATACACCATCCCTCACCTCCTCGTGAAGCAGCTCCTCCAGCTGCTCGCTCTCCGCCTTGTAATCCTGCAGCCAAAGGTAATATCATATCATGTGCCTCATGCCTGTCGCACTGCACTGCACCTCCTCATACACCATCCCTCACCTCCTCGTGCAGCAGCTCCTCCAGCTGCTCGTTCTCCGCCTTGTACTCCTGCAGCTTTGGACAGTTAATGCTCATGTGCCTCCTCATGCCTGTAACACCTCACTGCACCTCACTGCACCTACTCATACACCATTCCTCACCTCCTCGTGCAGCAGCTCCTCCAGCTGCTCGTTCTCCGCCTTAAACTCCTGCAGCTCGCACCTCACTCCACCTCACTCCACCTCACTGCACCGCACTGCACCTCACGGCACCTCACTGCACCTCCTCATGCCCCTCCAACCATTCCTCACCTCCTCGTGAAGCAGCTCCTCCAGCTGCTCGTTCTCTGCCTTGTACTCCTGCAGCCGCGCCGACAGCTGTGCACAGATCTGCAAGGGGCAGGCAAAGGGAGCGAAAGAGAAAGAGAGGCAGAGGAAAGGGTACATGGCTGCTCGGTTGCTGCTATGCTACCAAAGTCACTCCACCCGCCTTGTACACCTGGAGCCGTGCTGACAGCTGCGCACAGATCTGCAGGGTCAGGCAGAGTGGGGGAGAAATAGGCGGAAGGGAGTGTGATTGTTTGGTTGCTGCTATCATGTCACTCCCTCCACCCGCCTTATACTCCTGCAGCCGCGCCGACAGCTGTGCACAGATCTGCAGGGGCATGGAGAGGGAGAAAATAGAAGGAGAGAGGCAGACACAAGAGAGAGGAGAAGAGGGAAGGAGGCTGTAGGGAAAACCTTCTAGTTGCTGACTCTCAGTCACCGCAACTGACTCTCAGTCACCGCAACTGACTCTCAAAGTTACCCCACACGCATCCCTCATCCTTCACCCTTCATGCATACATGAATCACATATCTCCATGCAAGCCAGGCCTCCTTTGTTTTGAGGCGCCTCAAAAGTGCATTTTGGTGCATTTTGAGGCGCCTCAAAATGCATCCCTCATCCTTCACCTCACCCTTCATGCATCAATGAATCACGTATCTCCATGCAAGCCAGGCCTCCTTCGTTTGCCCGATGCCTGTAGTGTGGCCTATCAGAGAAGCCCCTTGGCCTGCCATACCTAACGCACCACCAAAAACATGCATCCCTCGTCCTTCACGCATCCACGCGCCCATGCCTTCCCACACACACACACACATACCCGTGTAAGCCTGGCCTCTTTGCCACGTGAAAGAAGGAGTGTTTTGAGACGTCTCAAAACGCCCACGCCTTCCCACACACACACACACACACACACACATACCCGTGTAAGCCTGGCCTCTTTGGTTTGCCCAATGCCTGTGGTTGATTCAAGGATGCCCCTTGGCCTGCCATACCTAACGCACCACCAAACGCATACATCCCTCATCCTTCTCCATCCCTCAAACATTCATGCCTACCCGTGTAAGCCTGGCCTCCTTGGTTTGCCCAATGCCTGTAGCTGATCGAAGCAGTCCCTTGGCCTGCCAGGAACAGCCAGAACAAACGAGAGAGGAGGGAGGAGGGAGGGTTTGAAAGGGAGGAGATTGGAGTGGAAAACTAAAGTTGCTGTGCTCATAAACAATTCTGATCAGTGCTCCAATCCAACCGGATTGTCCTGCTGCATCCGTAAACCCTTTCTGTAAAAATTCTTTGATACCTTTTTTCTCACCTCTTCAAGGTCTCGTGGAGTCTCTGATTTGACAACTCCTTGTAAAAATCCACTCACCTCTTCAAGATCCCGTTGAGTCTCTGACGCTTTCACCACCTTCTCCCTTGTCTTCCCAACACAATAACCACCATGCTCCTGCTTTACAAGTGCAAGCAACCATAGACCCATACTCTCAACTCCCTTCAATATAGTTCACATACCTCCTCGAGATCCCTCTGAGTCTCTGACGCTTTCACCACCTTCTCCCTTGTCTTTCTGTCCCTCTCAACCCCCTCCTCCTCCCCTTCCTCCTCCTCCTCCTCCTCCTCCTCTTCCTCCTCCTCACCCCCTTCCTCCTCTTCCTCCTCCTCTCCTTCCCCTCCCTCCTCTTCGCCCTCTTCTTTTTCCACTCCGCCTCCCTCCTCCATTTCTAACCCCCCTTGCTCCCCTACTCTCCTCCCAGCTTCCCCATCCTCTTCTTTTCCCCCATTCTTTAACCTCCCCTCTCTAATCCCACCGTCATTCCCTCCCACCACCCCCAGTCCACCCACCACCTTACCACCACCATCCCCTGCTGCCTCTCCCCCTGTCACATCCATCCGAGCAATCCCAACCCCAGCCCCAACTCCAGCCTCAACCGCGCCACCAACCTTTACACCACTCTCCATCCCTTCCCTCCTCCCATTCTGATCACGCCCCAGTTCCCCTTCCACCCCCTCCTCCTCACTACCCGCAGCTTCCCCTCGTCCTACCTCGCTTCCTCCTAACTCCCCTCTCCTCCCACTCCCAACTGGCTCTCTTAACCCTGATCCTGATCCCAACTCTCCTGCTGACATAAGCACCCCACCTTCCGCAGCCACAGGAAGAGCTCCTTCCACCGCAGCAACTTGCTTCTCAACCGCACTGGATCCCTCCAACTCCCTCCTTTCTCCCCTAGTAGGTGCCTCTACGGATGCACTTGGTTCACCCTCACACCCTTCCCCTTCTGTGCCATTACCCTGCACATCCGTGTCACTCCCCCCCTCACTCTTTGCTCCTTCTTCGCCCCTTACTTCGCTCCCTCCTGCCCCTGCTGTCCCTCCTGCCTCTGCTGCAATCCCAAAATTTAGAGCATCCGCACCTGTCACTGCCTCAATCCCCAATCCACCACCCAAGCCTGTATCCGACCCAGCTGCCGAACCAGCTGCTGGCCGCACATCCAGACCTGCTTTTGCAGCTCCGGTCGTGGCAGCAGCAGCAGCAGCAGCAGCAGCAGAAGCTTTACTAGCATCAGAACTCATGCTCCCATCCCTTCCTCCTGCTTCTAACCCCCCTGATGCTCCCCCTTCCGCTCCTTCCGCTGCTCCCACTGCTTCCACACCTGCCCCCCTCTTGTCTGCAGCTGCATCAGTGGCCCTTGCAGCCGCTGCAGCTGCATCAAGGCGCGCAGCAGCAGTACTATCCGCAAGGAGAGTGTCTGACCCTGCACCTGCCCCAGCAGCGATCAAGCTCCCAACAGTCATGGTAGTACCCCCTCCGGTTAACCCTTTACCAATAGATCCTCCTGCTGCTGATCCCCCACCAGTTGAACCTCCACCAGTTGATCCCCCACCAGTTGAGCCTCCACCAGTCGACCCTCCACTAGAGCTCGCCTCGACCTTCTTTCTCCTGCCGCCACCTGCGCCCTTCCCCCCTCGCACCCCTGGTGTGCCTGCTGCTTTTCCCTCTGTTTCGGAGGAGCTTCCAGGTTCATCCAGGGATGGAGCGCTGATGGATCCTTTAAGAGCTGCCCCGTTAGTGGCTCTAGAAGAGGTTGGCTTTGATTTCGACCTGTCTAGTTTGCCCTGTGAGAGTGTACGTTGATGGACAGAGGGTTGATGTTGGGGAAGATAAAACATAGAACCAAATCAGAACAACGAACGAGACAGAAAGCAGGGCAAGGAAACAGGTGGGAAGGGGCGGCTGGTGGGTCGAATCGATGCATCAAATGACCAAGGCCAGTCACGTCATAGAAACCAAAGCAATAGCCAGCCAGCTCGCATTGCTGGGTTATGAGTTCAAACCTGAAGGGATACACCACTTTATAACCAAACCGCAAACCGAGCACACCACAGCAGTTCCCCCTTCATCTTGGCTGCTGCTGCGAGTCAGCCCACTCACCTTCTCCCTTGCTGCTGGTGTCTAGCGCACTCCCATAAGCTCCCACGCTGCTTCCAATGCGCTAAGAAATGAGAACAGTTGCTTCCCTTACCAATGTATGACAATAGAACAGATAGGTACCTATGTATCAAATGCACACGTAGGTACGGCTGCTGCTGTGAGTCAGCCCACTCACCTTCTCCCTTGCTGCTGGTGCCTTGCGCACTCCCACAGGCTCTAGTGCTGCTCCCGATGCACGTAACGGGCACAACAATCAGGAGGGTGGGAGGAAAGAGGGGAAAAGAAAAGCATGAGTTGGTTGCTTGAGAAACAAAGCCTGAATGCCTTCCATTGATCAATGATCCTTCCCTCACTCTGACCTGAATAATTATCCACCCCTCCCAGCCCAGCCCAACCGCACTGCGCTCGTCTTAAGACGCATTGTAACGTCCTCCTCCACCCTTACCAGCCCACCAGCCCAACCGAAATCAACCGAGCTCAACCTCTCGCTTCACCTGCTAGCTGCTCCTCCAAGGCTGAATCCTCATTCCGTGCCGCCACACTCACTGTTTGACCCACCGATTCTCTAGAGGGCGTCTTAAGACATATCAATCAAAACGCCCTCGATCCATCCATCCATCCTTACCAACCCAGCCCAACCGCACAGAACCAAACCCAACTGCACGATTTACCTGCTAGCTGCTCCTCCAGAGCTGAATCCTCATTGCGTGCCGCCACACTCACTGTGCGATCCACCGCTTCTAGCAGCTCTGGGAGGAAGGGGGAGGAGGGGAGGTGAAAGGGGGAGAAGGGAGAAAGAGGTGGAGGGAAACGGCGTTGGGGGGAAAGGGACGCAAGGATAGGGGGAGATGAGCAGGGGGGAGGAGGGAGCTGTAGTAGGGATGGCGTTTTTGGCAACACACGGAGCAGTGGAAGGAGCAAAGTCCTCAATTCATGCCGCCACACTCACAGTGCGATCCACCGCTTCCAGCAGCCCTGGGAGAGGAAATGGGGGAGGTGAGTGGGGGAAAGGAGCGGAGGTAGAAGGTGGTGGGAGGAGGGCGTTTCTGGCAGCAAAACGAGCAGCGAGCGGAGCTGAATCCTCATTTCGCGCCGCCACACTCACAGTACGATCCACCGCTTCCAGCAGCCCTGGGAGAGGAAATGGGGGAGGTGAGTGGGGGAAAGGAGCGGAGGTAGAAGGTGGTGGGAGGAGGGCGTTTTTGGCAGCAAAACGAGCAGCAAGCGGAGATGAATCCTCATTTCGTGCCGCCACACTCACAGTACGATCCACCGCTTCCAGCAGCCCTGGGAGAGGAAAGGGGGGAGGTGAGTGGGGGAAAGGAGCGGAGGTAGAAGGTGGTGGGAGGAGGGCGTTTCTGGCAGCAAAAGGAGCAGCAGGCGGAGCTGAATCCTCATTTCGTGCCGCCACACTCACTGTGCGATCCACCGCTCCTAGCAGCTCTGGGAGAGGGGAAGGAGTTGGGGAGGAGGGGAGGGGGGGAGAAGGGAGAGGAGGGAGAGGACGATGGGAAGTCGTTATTAAGAGCCGCCACACTCACTGCGCTTTTCCACGGCTTCGCCTGTAACCTCGTCATGAACAGCATCTACACCCCCGACATAGTCACTGTCACAGTAACGGTGTCGGCAATGCCTACTTTCACCCCCGTCATAGTCAACCTCACTGTGAGACGGTGTCACTGCCTACCTTCAGCCGCTCGCAGCCATCCTGCCATTGCGACCGACTATCACCCCGGTCCCGCGTTTCACGGCGACCAGCTTCGGGAAGATGATGGATGGATGCAGCCGATTTTGTGGGCGACTAAAGAATGGATTCACGGCTACTAAGTTCGGGACGAGACTGCTTGCAGCGTCGCGACTGGCGCAGGGTTTGCGATTGATTACTCTCCGCCTGTCTACTGGTCGATGACCGGATTTCACGGTCCTGGAAAACTACGTCCAATCACGCAGCAAGCGTCCTAGTAAGCCTCATGACGGACGAAGAGACACTACTAATCGCGAACGGTGCGTAACTTCGTCGCCAACCATTCGCAACAACTAGCAAGCTCTCGCCGCAACAGTGATCGTCGCCTCGCGGACTTCCTTCGCGCAGGTCATCAGCAGGTCATTAGCAGGTCATTAGCAGGTCCCCAAACGTAACAGCCTCGTACGTGTTCGCCTCTTCTGAATGAAATGTGCAGCTACGGCGTGGTTACGATGGATACCCTGCGCTAACGCGTGAGGAAGCGACTCTTGAGTCGACTCAAAAGTAACTACGGGGTGGTTCCGCTGGATACGCTGCACTAACGCTTGACGAACGGATAGTACGTTACGAGCCAGCTATCGTCCAAGCAAATCCGCCCCGTCTAGTTTTGAGGCGCCTCAAGACGAGCGGATAGTACGTTACGAGCCAGCTATCGTCCAAGAAAATCCGCCCCGTCTAGTTTTGAGGCGCCTCAAGACGAACGGATAGTACGTTACGAGCCAGCTCTCGTCCAAGCAAATCCGCCCTGTCTGTAGCTCGCCTCGTCAAAACGCAATGTGCAACTACGGGGTGCTTACGCTGGACACTTAGCCAGCTCCGTTAACACGCGCGACGCAATCTGGCGGCGAACACGGCCGCTTAGTGATGCCTGAGCGAACCTGTCAGTACTAAAGGAAGTCGCAGATAATAACCTTTCGCCACTTGTGTCATCAACCATTTCCTTACGCCCAGCGAGGCTGTGAAAATGTGAACCTCCCAGCACACGCAAATCGAAGTTGGGATGTCCTGAAGGTATTGGGTGCGGTGGTGTGCAGTGTGCCGTGGCGGAAACGGTTGTTGATGGTGGAAGGAGCAGTCGGCAATCTCGATGCTGTGCTGGACTGGACTGGGCTGAAGGGGACAGCTCCAAGGATTGTGACCAGGCCTGTCGATTCAAGGGCATATTCCCTTAATGCCCTGAACATTCCGGGCTACTTTCGCTCCAGCTCGACTGCCAAAAGTGTTAGATTCGTACTGCACCCGTGCCACTAAGTGCCGCGCTCGACCCTTCCCCGGATGCGTTAAGGGCCCAAACCAGGCCTTCCCCTGTCTCGAAGTTTTCGTTTCTGGTTGTAGGACCCACCACCCCCCCAAATTCTGCCTGACCCCACCCCCTTTCTCCTTAGGTTGCACGAGAGGAGTGGATTTTTCCCTTAACGTTTTCTAGCCAATCCTGTGTTTGTAAAGCGTCTAAGTCAGCTTGGAGCACCCGAATTGTCCCTTATTGTCTAAGTGTCCCCCCCGCCCTCTTCCTCCTTGGGTTGCACGAGAGGAGTGGATTTTCCCTTAGCGTTTTCTAAGCCAGCTTGGAGCACCCGAATTTCCCCTTAGCGTCTGAGAGTCCCCCCCGCCCACCCCCCCTTTCTCAGGTTGCACGAGAGGAGTGGATTGTTCCCTTAGTAAAGTGTCTAAGTCAGCTTGGAGCACCCGAATTTTCCCTTAGCGTCTTTAAGTGCCCCCCTCCCCCCCCTTTCTCCTGAGGTTGCACGAGAGGAGTGGATTTTTCCCTTAGCGTTTTCTAGCCATCCCGTGTTTGAAAGTCAGCTTTAGAGCACCCAAATTCGTCTAAGTGCAAACTCTTCACAGGCCCGGATTTTAAGTTTTCACTTTGGGGTGCGCCCGTGACCGTTAAGGGCACCCAAACGCTCAGCTACACCAAAAACAGGGTCAGATGGGGAGGAGCTGGGGAGCGCAAGTATGGGTCCCAGGAACTTCGACAGGCCTGACTGTGACTGCCGAGACAACGGTCGCCTCGTTATTTGTTACAAATATATGTTTACTACACAACTTAAAAACACTCCAAATCTGGACCAACAATTTCTCAAACCTCAACAAAATAAAATCTGAAGCTGGTCATTTCTTGGAGACACCATGCGCTTGTGCTGCCCTGAAGGGCGGGACGTACAACCCAACCCCCGGCTTATCACCCGCCGAACCACCTCCCTTTATTTCCACTAACCCATCCTCTTTTCTCCCCCTCCCCTCCCCATTTGCCTCATCCTCATCCACCATATCCGCCCAGCTCAGCCCACAGGGCGAGGCTAGGCCCTCTTGAGGAGCCAAACCCAATGCTGCCACGTCACCAGAGCCAGGGGCGGGACTAGGCTGGTTCAAGGCGTCATGGGGAGCGTGAGTAGGAGAATGGTGAGCAGGAGCAGGGACAGCAGGAGCAGGGACAGCAGGAGCAGGGCTCGCAAGGTTACGACCAGGTGCATGGGCGGGGACAGCAGCAAGACAGGGAGCAGCCATGCGTTCAGGAGCCTCAGGGGTACCGACGGCAGGATCAGGGGTATGGGCTGGAATGGGGGTTGTATGTTGTGGAGTCCCACTTGTGCCGATTCCGTGCACTTGAACCTTGCTACCCCTTGCAGCAGCAGGCGGGGTGGTGGTGGTGGTGGTTGTAGGGGCAGCATGAATTGCAGTGGTGGCACCTGCTGCTCCTCCTGCTGCAGCTCGTGCTGTTCCTGCAGCACCGAATAGAAACAGACCGCTCCCGACTCCTCCTTTCCCCTTCTCCTTGCTCTCATCACCAGTCCTCGTCCCATGTGCTTGGTCTTGCTGTCCATCATCAGTCTTTGCCTCAAGGCTCAAGCGTGAAAACGGCAGCGAGCTGACCTCATCTGCAGCCTCGTCCTGCTCTCTTCTCTGCTTCTGCCCTGGCTTCTCCCCTCTCCTACCCTCCGCACTCACAGGCCTATCTGCTGTCACTGCAGCCACACCCACCATACCCCCCCCAGCAACCCCATTGCCTCGAGCCCTGCCCCCCAAGCCAGCACCCCTGCCCCCCCTGCCTGCACCTGCTCCTGGATGGAACCTCCCCTGGTTCAAACCTCCAGAAGGAGAGCTTCCCGGGTGGAAACCACCAGGCTGGGCGCCACCAGGGTGGAAACCACCTATCACAGGGGCAAACGCTGCGTCTAGTAGGCGGTTACCACCTCCCAGCCCGCTCACCCTCCTCCGCCCACCCTCTCTTCCAACAGTGCCAGCGCTGCCATCACCACTGGTACCAGGCCCGTCCGCCCTCTCTCTTTCACTCTGCTGCCCGTTGCCCTTGCCCGCCTTGGATCGCTCTTCCCCACGCCTCTCCTCCCCACGCTTCTCTTCAACACCCCTCCCCTCCCCACTCTTCCTCCCCCCACTCCTCTCCGCCCTACTGTTGCTCAATTCGAGCCTTTCCTGCCTGCTGCTACCCCCTCCCTCTCCTCCTTGCCCAGTACTTTTCCCCCGCCTCCAATCCACTTCTCTCTTCTCCTCCCGGTTACCCCTCCCTCCTCCCCTCCCCCTCACATCCCCTCCGCCTGTCTCTCCTGTCCCTTCCTCTAAGTCTTCCACAAGAACCCCTTCCCTCTCCTTGCCTTTCCTATGCGTATCACCACGCTCCCCTCTCTGCTCCCCTCTCTGCTCCCCCCTCTGCTGCTGGTGGTGCTGGTGCCTCCCTGCCCTTCGCTCCCCATCCTTCCCTGATTTCATCCCCTCTCTTTCCCCGTCCCCCGGACCCACCTGCTGCTGCTCCTTCTTCACTCCTCCTGTCACCCCTTCCCTCCCTCTATCTGCTCCTTCTCCTGCCCTATCTCCCCTTTCCAAACCCGCTCTTTCTCCCTCCCTATCTCCCTTGCCCGCCACAGCTCCCCCCTCCCTCATCTGCTTGGCAGCAGTGGCAGCGGCAGCAACGGGTGTGATGCCGGTGGCAGCAGCAGCTTGATACAGTCGCTCATATACCTCCCTATCCTTCTGCACTTGCACCTGATGAGGTGAGAAAATGGATGAAGGGGTTGGGGTTGGGGTGATGAGGGAGAAAATGGATGAAGGGGTTGGGGTTGGGGTGATGAGGGAGAAAATGGATGAAGGGGTTTAAGTGAGGGGTCTTCATTCGCTTGGCAGCAGCAGCAGCAGCAGCAGCAGCAGCAACGGGTGTGATGCCAGTGGCAGCAGCAACTTGGTACAGCCGCTTATACACCTCTCTATCCATCTGCACCTGAACCGGATGAAAGAGTAAGGGGGATGAACAGCGAAAAGTAGATTGGATTTTTTAGACGATTCAAGGGTCGTTCCTGCACATCCCTGTGCTTCTGCACCTGATAGGGGAGATTTCTGGGAAATATACATATATATATATATAGAAAATATATATATATAATCATAATAATAATCCACGCTCACTACGTCAAGCGTCCCATTCAAGTGATATGGGCATACCGAAGCAGCGTTACAAGAAGCACAGCAGCATAGCAAGAGGCAGAAATAATTATCGTTCCATGTAACAACACAGCAAAACTCACAATGACGTTCATAAACTGGTGTTGTCCGTCTATCCTCCGTTTTGAAATCGTCTAGGAAACAAACCCAGCTAATGACGCAGCAAAACTTACGATGCCCTTCATAAACTGGTGTTGACCGTCTATCCTCCTTCTTGCCTTTCCTCCCTCCATCCCCATCCCCATTCCCATCTTCATGCTCCCTTGTCCCCCACCACCAGCAGCACCACCAACAGCGGCACTACTCGTGTCATCCCTCCCTCCCCCCTTGCTACCCCACTCACGCCCTCTCTCCCATCCACCGTTCTGCCTCCCACTCCCCCTTCCC